AGATGTTGCTGCTGCTGCTGCTGCGGCTGCATCAGCAACATTCTCAGCTTGCCACAAGGCCACTGGCATTCTGTCTGCATACGCTGACTCAAGATCTGGTATGGAGGATCTGCGGCGCTTTGTGAGTGGCAAGTTATGGTTGCATCTGATTCTGACCAGAAATGCTATACGATCAAAGTTCAATACTCAGCTAGAGAGGAATAGTGAATAATTTACAGCAGGCCAGGCATTGCCAAACATGCAAGTGATTGTGGAACAATTAACCAATTTGTTTCGGCTCAATGAAGTCGAAGCGAACGTTAAGCTAATATATAAAAAGTAATACCCGGCTACAGCATCAAAACTATCATCATCATCATCATCATCGCAAACTGATGCGAGTTGCAGCCATGGGAAAGAGTCTCCAAGCTGGAAAAGTGTCGATGCCGACAAACCCCAAGGACGCTGGCTTATAAAACAAATAAAGCGAAATGTATTATACAAAATATTACTTACCCTTACCGCAGTTTGACATAAATGCCAATTTAAATGCTGCAAAACGCATAAATCAGCAACGAGCGTCTAGCTCTTTTGTACACAGAAAGAATGAACTTGTCTTGAAGGGCAGCGCTTTTAAGATTTTAAGTTGTTGCTTCCATGAGAAGAGCATGAGCTCTGAGTTTTTCCCGAGTGTACTTGCTGTTGTGACGCTGGCAGTTGCTGCTGTTGCGGGCTGATGTTGCTGTTGTGCCTGGCGTTGTAGTCGTGTTTTTGGCAAACAAACGATCAGCAAGTGGCGCTCCTCAAAATCGTTTTTGTGCAAAAATGTTTGCTGGCAAAACGAAGAAGACCCATCGATGGGCAGAGTTTCGGGAAAAAGGCAATATTGTTGCGGCTGCTGGGTGACAATAGCCGCCGTCTAATTGAATAAACATTAAATAAAAGTTGTCTTGGCAAAGCCAAAGCGCAACATCCTGGTCAGTGTGCTAGCCATAGCATTGGCCATTTGGCATTTGGCTCAGAATCTCTGGCCAGAATAATCACGAACAATGAAGACTGAACGGCGGAAAGCTCATTAACATGATTACAATGAAGATTCGACTGCATAATAATTCACACATATTCCGGCATTACGAAAAGTGCATTTGTATGGGCATGCAATTAGTCACAGAGACCGCAGCATCTGCAAGTTGGAGATCCGAATTCTTTACCGCCCGCCGCCACCATTCGTCCCATTCATTCCCATAATTTAGCAAATATTTTTTTATTTTTTTATTATTTATTTTCCTATTTTGCCTCTATGTAGACGGCATAGCAACTGCATTGACTATAACATTTTCTCACGTTTCGTCGTGCAGATTTCGGCACAAGTTGCGCCTTGGTGTGGCCGATCCGGTGCCTGGGATGGTATGAGATCTCGGTTGGCAGTTGCAGTGTGGTGGCTCCACAGTTCCATGCTTCCATGGTACTATGGCACCATGGTGATAATGATGATGGTGGCGAGGTCGCTGGATCGGCGGAGGCGGGCGACTAATGCACATTTTATGCAAATTTTGAATGCGCGATCCCCGTGTTTTGGGTTTGCTTATGGCAGCTTAAGTCGGTTTACGAGTGGCAGTAAATGCAATTTAGAATGCTTGAATCTATTGACTGTCAATAGGCGCAGGAATTAAACCTGTTTGCACATATGCTTTACATCTGCAGATTGCAAACTATATTCTTAGTTTTATTTAAGTATTCAACACCTCATCAAATAAAGCTTGTAAATATATAGCATTTAAATAATATAGAGCCATTCTTTTCTTTAAGGCATTTTGCTGTACCTTGCAGCAATTAAATCTGTTTATATTAATTGGGTAGGGCATAGGTACACCTACTAGGTTTATCTTCCTCAGTAGATGCTCTAAAGATGCTTTAAAGGCAATGGAAATTAAAGGCATAATGGTCAACCAATGAGTACAAATTAAAATGAAACCGGACTTATGCTACAATTCATACATTTTAACCGGAAAAAATCATTAAATTATATGACTCGTCAGATATCTGTACATCCCAACATATATATAACACTCATTATATTGCTAGGCCTATTAACAATAGTTCTAGTAAGAAAAGATCTCTTACAAAAGATCGAAAAAAAGTTCGTTGCCTAAGTCGTTCGTTTTCAAGAAGATTTTTTGCGTATCTTTTGCAGATTTTCAAATGTGCCGCATCACGGCTACGCGTCAAATTAGCCACGCAGTCCGCTCACTGACCACTGACCACTATCCGACTGCCTGACGGACCCATTCCAATCCAATCCCAGCGAGCCGCTGAGCTTTGGTTTCGCAAGCGCCGTCGCATCCATAAAACTGTAAATTGCACAGCTGCGTCTCCGTCTCCATTTGCGGCTGTCGCTGCCACGTGCAATCCCCGAATCCGAATATGAGTCGAAATCCTCATCCCAATCTCAGCCAGCCAATGCGAAATTATATGTGTGTAAATACATTTATATGTACCTATGCAATTCCTTATTATGAGCGGTACGCTGCCAAAGGTTTTCCGAGAGCTGCACTTTATCAACGGGAAAATCTGCTGGCAGCCCATGCTCATTGCTGCACAATTACTCAACGACCTGGGTTTCCAATTCCCGCTCGAGTCCCAATCGCAATCCTCGACACTCGTTAGTGCACGCAGGAAAAAATTATATCGATGTAAAAGTAAATAAAGGTGAACGTAAGTGTATCAAGTTAAAAATGATTTGTAGGGTTTTTTAGAACTAGGAACTCCGTTTGTTGTTTTCATAATCCCATGATTAATATTATACGATTTTTTCTAAATAGTAAAGCTTTTTCTTTCGGTGTGGTTGGCTCTTTGAGTGCACCAGCTTCTGCCACGTTTTTTGGCATTTTTTGGCGCGTTGCTGGTGGGATGGATGGGATGGGATCGAGAGTCGAGAGTCTGTTCAGGCGCATCTTCAGCTTAATTGAATTTTAGCTGCTGCTGTTGCTGCTGCTTCTGCTGCTGGTGGTGAATGCATTTTCCACAGGCTCCCACACGTTGTGCAAATGCTTTCGGCACTTTTACTGCACATCGGGCTTACATAATGAGTAAAAATTAAATAATTTACCCCGCCAATGGATTCTGGCGTGTACTGTAGCTTGTCGCTGCCAGGTGAAACACCGAATTCGTGTCTTTGTCGGCGAGCACATTCATCAATGTCAGGCGTTGAGTCCGAGGCCGTTCAAGCTTCGAATAGATTGGTATTTAATTGAAAGCGCCCGCTAATTAGAATCCAATGCGCTTAGATGCTGTGTAATGCCCAGCGATGGATCGTGTCGGACCTCATCTTCCAATAACAATTGGGACTTGGGCATCTGGCACTTCCTTATTGCTGGCCTTTCCCACGCAGAGGGATCGCGTGAGTCATTGGCACACACAGGAGTTGGATCGCAAGGCGAACAAACATTTATTACAAACAGCATTACGGCTCTTGCACAATCGCAATCGGCAGCAAATTAGAAAGATGGCGGCCACTTCCCACAGCTCTTTTTGGCAGATGGCTCCGATCCGCTCCACTCCATACCACACCGGGTTGAAAGTCATCCTCTAGTTGACATTTTTTCGCCAGCTGCTGATCTGCATGACTTTGGCTGCCTGGCCTTTTTCCGGCAGGCAACCTCAACTTTGAAATGCCAAGCTGCCAGTTCAGTGCAGTTCGGTTTACTTCAGTTCAGTTCCAGGTGACATGACAGCTTGAGGTTGTTTGCCAGCCATCTTTCCTGGGCAGCAAATATAGAAAATCTAAGCAGCAACGCCCAAGATCCGCCAAAGATCTGGCCAAAAGTAGCAGGCGTGTAAATTCCCACACTGCAGCAAATGCCGTCAAGCTAACCGTCACCCGAATCCCCCATCCATGGAGCTCCATGCCACACTCACCCATATACACATAACCGGATTGGCGGTGGCACCGCGACTTTTGCCCCGACATGGCAGCCGCGGCAGCAACGGCAGATGGGGCAGCAAATGACAAAGCCCCGCCACGGCTATGACATAATACCCAGCGGAAGATGCAACCAACGAGCTTGGTGCACCAGGTGCACTGCAAGCATGAAGAACTTCAAATACTTCGAGAAGGAATAAAATGCGAAGTGGGATTTCTTGTACTGGATTATAAGAATGTCCTATATTTTCTATGATACGTAAAAATTAAAAATTTAAGAAAGGGGTATGTGGCCTACTAAACAAGTTTTCTGTGCCAAAATTTGATTAAAAATGTCATCAAATTTACGTGTGAAATGTAAAGCTCTCTCTGTTTACGTTTTATTTCTCAGTGTACAGCGGGTGTAATTGATGTGGGGTCGTTGGTCGGGCGGGGGAGTGCTTGCCCATAATCATGAGCGGGCCCTGCGGCCAGCTGACGTAAGTGATGAGCGCCAGCGACTCCTGGCAGGCGGTGTATCGCGTACAATGCAACAAAGTGTCGTATGGTCACACGCTGCGTATGCGTAATTTGCGTTAAGCATACGACAGCGAGCCGCAACCAAAGAAGCAACAGAACCAAGAAGCGGTGGAAAAACAAGCACTGTAACGAACAGCAGACGACCACGAAGATGCGAGACGAAGCTGGAACGCCGCTGCGCTGCCCACGTTGACGTCGCACAGTGGGCATGGGCATAAAAATAAGTATATTTAAGAGGATACAGAAATATACCTAATAAGAAACAAAAATTTAGTTGTAATGCATTTTGACAATTACATTTTGAAAAATCGGAGTTCAAGTTATGCTACTCCTAAAGATTTCCTGCAAATACTTAAATACTTAAAACTTGGTTTGTATTTTATAACTATGTTTAAATGGATGTATTCAAGTTCGGATCAGATCATCGGAATGAGACACTCTATTTTCAAATAGTACAAGTATGAAAAAAGGAACTAAGTGTATATTCTCACATTCTTGCCCCACTGTGCACCACTGCGGCTGCCGCCTTGGAAGCAGCGCCGCGATGGGCTCCAAGTGGTTTTCCTTTCGCTTTCAGAAATCATTTCGCTTCGACAACGTGGACGATAAAGTCACAGATCGCGCATCGCGAGCCCGCTCTGCCCGCTGAACTCGCCTGGTTCGCCTGTTTCCTCCGGTCGGTTGGTGGTTGCTCCTCAGTGGATGTGGTTGGTGGTTGGCGTCTGGTGGTTCTGCTGTGACTCTGTGCTTTCCGCTGTTTGCCCAGCCAAGTGCGGCGGAGGCAGACGTCTTCAACGTCTCGCTGCACCTTCTAATGGGCTTTCCGTAGTTTTCGCACCTTGCGAAACACATTTCGTACGCATTTACATACAAGATCGAAGTTTGAAGAATTTTGCCCTGCTGTCTGCTCATTTCCTACATGACGGACAACTTTTTATGGCGATGATTTTCGCGTTGAGTTAGTGAAAAAGAAAAAACAAAAAATACAAAAAACCAAAGTAACAAAGAAGCAACAAAATTGTGCAGTGGGGGTTTTGCAACCAAATCCCTTCCAATACTCATAAGATTTCTGGTGTTGTGCCCTCTTGTTTTGCAGTGCGATCCATGTGAAAATCGACATTTACTATCAGCTTAATTGCTCTGGATTACTTATTGGATATCATCCTGATTTTGGATTATAAAAACTAATACAACATGCTGAGCATTAGAAATGCAATGATTGCCTTCCTTTTGGGTGAGTAAAACATTTAAATCTCAAAAAGGATATTCATTTAAAAGGTTGGGAGTTTACAAGTAATTTATAAATTGATTTCAACTTAAATGAAAATTTATTTAATTATATCAATATATAGAATTACTATGCATCAATTGCTTGTAATCTTTTAAGCTTTAAAAAATATCTTCCTAGCAACCAGAAAATTAATTTTGTATATTCAAAAACATGTACTTTCATAAAGTATAGATTTAAAGAAAGGCAAGAATTACATTAATTACATTATAACAGCGTAAATTTTTTCCTTGTGATATTTTCCCATTTACTGATGCAACTTTTTTGATCAGATGAACGTTTTTAAAAGTAACCTACTTTTAACTTTAGAAAAAAGTGTAAACTTTAAACTTTCAGATTAAAGTCGATATTCGATTAAGTACAAGCTTTCCATACGATTTTCCAACTAAAAACTAAGTTATGCTTTTTGTGCCGATCAACCTTCTCTATATAAACACACAATGTGTCTAAACATAAATGATAGCATATCGGTAAAAAAAAAATCGCATGCTCATTAGGGTTGGTTTTTTAACATATGAAATACAGAAAAAGCGCGGTGCTTCAAGGTCTATCGCGAAAGAAATTAATGGGATTCAATGGCTTTCATATCGATCACATTTGAAATCAAGCGTAATTTGCTTGGCAGTCCCCCGCAGCAGGCCGAAATGAAGACAAGGCTGAGAAATGGCAATTACGGCTAAGAGTGGGTCATCAGTAAACATAATTACCATACTGTAAATTATATTTCCAGTGAGAGTTGGAGTGGGACAACGCCCAATACAGTGGCTTGAGGGGATTTGAGCTGCGTGAGAGCCTCAGTCGGTCCAAAGTTTTGACCAATTTGTAGGTTCAGCTCAGCAACCAAGCAATTGAAATCGGAATCGAACAATCTGCAGTTGATGGGGGCAACAAAAGAGCTGCCACGGATGCCTTTGCTTTTGCCTGTGCCCCATGCCATCTGCCATCTGCCCAGTCATAGTTCACTGCCAAACAATAGGCTACTCTGCTGGGTGGAAAGTTGGGTTTGAAATTCACTTGAATTAAATGCGAATCAAAGTCGAGTTTCGGCCACAGCGTCTTTCTTTCTTCGAACTGTGCTGGATGGCTTGTTTTCTCTTTGTTTTGCATTTGGGGTTTCCTTTAACAATTTTTTTTTTTGGCATGATAAATGGGGGCGCACTGGGTTGCATAATTCAACCTGCGACTGCAATTTGCAGTCGTAGAAGAGGAGCTTTGTTCTGCAGCTTGCCATTGCAATTACACTTGCCTTAATTGCAGCGAAACCATCTTCCGCTGTCTGCAGAACAGAAGCCTCACAGCATAAAAAAGATATATGCAAACATAAGATATATCTAAATGTATATAAAAAGCCAAAGACAACAATGATACATTGTTCAATCTCAGGGTAATTAGGCAGACCCCTGGGTCAGTTTTGCTTTTAATGCCCAATGTACACATGTACGACAAGCGTAATCCATGAATTTGATTGACTTGGCATTTTAATTGAGCGACCCCTATGTGCCCAGTAGATCCGGTGAATCCGTTTCTTACCACAGCGATCGTATATCGTTTGTCTGTCCAAAATGCTAATGATGTCGCTCGACATCGCAAATACCAATCGATGCTCCGAAAAAGTAAATAAAAAGCGGTCTCAAGCACTCACAGAACCGAGTTAGTGGCTTCACAGCCTTGGACCGCAGCAAGTGCTCCAGCACACATAAATCACGAGCTCGTCTCGCAGTTGTAAGCGAAAGTGAAGCGGCCCGAAGGTCACTTGACCACCAGGTCACCATCAACAGCAGCATCGTCTCGATCAGCACCAGCATCAGTTGCCACCAAATACCCATGCGACTCGATTCTGGCACCACTTGAGGTGCCATTCGAAGACCAGACCTAACCAGATCACGATTTCTGACTTGTTTTTATTGTTTCCACTCTTGCAGCAACGACACTTTGTAGTGGATACGGATTCGCGCAGGCCCAGTTGCTCGACGAGGACGACGACCTGGCCTTCGGAAGACCATGGCCCACCTACAGCCTACAGAACATGCCCAAGACGCAGTTCACCTGCCACGACAAGATCCTGGGCGGCTACTATGCCGATCCGGAGACCCAGTGCCAGATGTTCCACGTCTGCGTCAAGCTGCCCGGAGTGGGGGTAAGTGTTGTTGTGCCCAGGTGCAAGGGCTTCTGGTTGAGATCAAGGCAGCAGTGGGTCATGTAGCGAATGACATTGGCGAAGAAATCGTAAACCGAAATAAATCATAAATAGGTGATTATATGGATATATTTTCTTGTTTTGACAGAATCAAAATGAAAGTACTTTACAATTTTCAATATATTTTTTATTGGCCAAAAATTATCACCCTATTGACTACCTTACATTAATCTACAATTTTAAGTTTTCATAAAGAGATAGCCAGCACAAAAATCATATATACAGCAGGCAAGGGACAAACGTTACAGAATATAGAATTTATGCTGTTGAAGGCAATCTTGATAGTGTTCAATAAAGATAATTTTTCACAGCGTAAAACTGGCGGGCAAAACGAAAGACTTAGGCAACGAACTTGCCGACAGCCATTGGCTCGGTTCCGTCGCGCCAGCTAAATGGCAAAGTGGCACAGTCAGATGCGCTGAACTGGGGAATGTGTGAGATGGCTCCAAATGGTTCGTGACTTGTCCGGATAGCCGGATGGCTTTGCTGGCAAAACCAGAAGAAGAAGACGGTTGACTGGCTGACCTTTAAGCGGGGGCTTCGCTGGGAGCCGAGTGAAAAGTACTATAGACTAGGGTCTTCCAGCGGGCTCCTCCCCGAATCGCGAATAGAGCACATCTGCATCCTGCCGCGGTAGTGGCAATGCTTTCTTGTGCCACCAACGCTGCATTGACTGGCATATGGAATCAAATAATTCGGACAGCTGGCGAAGCTGCCTTTGCTCATGGTACTGGATATCCAAGCTTTGCCGTTGCCACATTCCCTGGAATATGTCCGTGTAGCCGGCTATCTTGTCCTGGAACTTTCGCGTTTGATCTCTCAGCTCCATATGAATGGATAGCAAGAGATTGCTCTGCCTAATCAGTTGACAGTTCTTTTGGTCAATTTGCTGCTCCAAGTGGCAGTTCCTCTCCGTCAAATAATCTATGTCCATCTGAAGGTCCTTCAGCTTTTCAATGGACATTTCTGCCTCTGAGCGAATTTCCAGCATTTTCTGCTCTAATTGCTCACCCTCAAAGGTCATAAAGTCCTCCTTCGAACTATCGCCTGCTTCAAGGCTCTCCAGAAATCGCAGTAGCTCTTCCTTGTCCACCACTATTCCTAAAGCCTTATCCCTCAGGCAGCGATATTTAGCCCGCTCATGCCTTAACATACTTCTCCACACTTCGGCGGGCGAGCTAACATTGGAGTTGGGCGAGGGAGTGGGGGCCGGTGCCTCTAGATGGTCTCTGCTTTCCGGCGGATCCGTGTAGTTGATTATCACCGTTCTGCTCCCGTTGCCCATTAGTTGATTGAGTAGCCTTGCCAGTCGAATGTTGTAGTACCGAATGTGCGTCTTCGGGTTGTTGGCCAGTGCCTGGAGCAAATTGATAAGCGTGTCCAGGGGCGTGTTGGATTCGAGTGGTGGCGAATCCTCCGTCAGTTGCTGCAGGTGAACCAGCTGCAGTCTGCCGCAACATTTCCGCAACTGATCGCCATTCGTCTGCTTCACATGCACGGTGAAGATCAGGTGCGGGTAATCGCCGCCCTCAGCCACCTTGTCCATGACCCTCGCGATATATGTGTGTACCCCGCGGGACGTGGCCACAAAGTGATCTCGGGTTGCTCGGCGATTGCATCCCCTGAGGTTCACCACCAGGTCGTTCGACTCCCCGTTCAGTTGGACGTAACACACCGAAACGTGCACTTCCATGTCCGTCTCCAACTCGTAAATACGGGTGAAGAGCTCGTCCAAGGTGCGGCTGACCACATCCGACGGATCGCCACCATGGTTAGTTGGTTTCCCGCCACAGCTGAAGACTGTGCTGGTGCGTCCACTGAGGACCTGATCAAGCACCTCGCTGATTGCCTCCGCGCTCACTTCCAGTTGCAAATCAGTGGGAGATGTCAAGAGTTTGCGAAACAAGTAGACCCTCATCTCGCCGGGATGAGGCCACTTTATCTTCGGGCTGCATAACATAAAAGGAAAAGGAACAATCAAACGGAATAAGAAAAACGAGTTTTCTAAGCGGCTGTGACGTGTGAGTTTATACGAATGTTTTTTCAAGATAGAATAGATGCCAGCCTGTCAATTAGCCTACTGTTCACAGTAGTGTCACCACAGCTCCATCGAGAACTAGATCGAGAACGTTCACTTCTCGCGGCCTGCAACGCTTCCCTGCGGGCCAAGCCAAATGCCAAGTGCCAAGTGGAAATGCCAAAGTTTGCGACAGGCCACCGATCGCTTCTGGTTACTGTGGCATTCAAGTCGCCACACAAGGAAGCCACTGATTGGATATATGCATCTACACTGCCGATCAATAAAAGAAACTTCTAAATTAATTTGTAACTATTTAATCGGGGCATCGTAAGTCAACGTCTCTAAATTTGGAAAACGTAAAGTTCTTTATGATTTATCGGTATCTTTAGTGTTGTTGAAATATTTATTATTTTTATATCAATGATTCATTTATTTTTTCAATTGCAATGTTGGCGAATGTTGGCCCAGTTGTGACTGATTCAGTTTAAAGTTAACAAGCTGCAGCTGCTGCCTAGTTCTTGGCCTTAATGCTTTATTTTTTGGCTTAATCGAGTTCATATTTAACATTGAATTTTGCATGTTGCTCTGCCAATCTAATGGTGCTGTTTTTGGTGCTTTTGATGCTTTCGCTGTATTGCGCAGCTCCTTCATCGAAGAGCTAATCCGTTTGTCCAACAGGTGCAGGACTACCGATTCCTCTGTCCCAACACAACGGCCTTCGACCAGGAGCTACAGATCTGCGCCAATTGGTTGGATGTGGACTGCGACAAGGCAACCTCCTTCTACGACAATGGCCACCTCAACGATCTCTATAGCGGCGGAGACGAGAGTAAATCCGCCAACGAAGAGGAGGCAACCTTCCACCTTCAACGCGCCGAAACTGGTAAGTGCTAGATATACTCCAAACAAAAATGTAAGTTACTTAGTAATTCATCGGAATATGGCAGCAAATGGTATTTTATTTAGTTACTTGAACGGAAGTGGCAGCCGTGACTTGAGGTTATTTTAAACAGAGTTGTCTTTATTTGCAGGCGATGTACGTCGCTCTAAGGAGAACCACAACAATAACAATATCAATAACAATCGTGGAGCGGAGCAAAAACCACGCCATCGCCACAATTATGCCCAGACAGGTGGCAGTTCCAGTTCCAGCTCCAGTCCAAAATTGGAGATCACGCAACCCACCAAGCGACCCATTTCCACCTATTACACGCCGACCACTTCGGGCAGCACCACCACATCCACCACTTCGACCACAACCACGACGGAGCGCAGCTATTACAACAACAATTACAGCAACAATTACAGCAACAATGACGACTCCAAGCGTAAGAAACAATAGGGTCTTGGGATGCAGTGCCCAAAATTTAATCACGATCCCATCCACAGAAGACTTGGACGACATCTTCAAGGGTTCCCACAGCTCACACTTCTTCTCCAACCGCCACGGGGGTCGGGAATACGACGAGGAGCCCAGCCGTCCCAAGCCCAATGACTTTACGGATAACCAGCGCAAGACGACCCGGGTCACACCCACGCGAGGTGGTGCACGACCCGCTGCCGGTTCGAGTAGTGCGATCCCATCCAGCACCACTGTTCCCAGCACTACCAAGTCCCTGAAGAAGATCACCTTGCATGCCACCTTCAACACGGACTTTCTGGACAGCTCTCCGCACACCAAGAGTCCATCTTACAACGCGGTTACCACTCCGCGACCTAGCAGCAGCATCACCAGTCGCTTCAGCTTCGGCTCCAATGACTTTTCCACACAGGAAAGGATTCAGCCAACCACATATAATCCCAACAACGGTGCCTACCGCTTCAAGACCACCTCGCCACCGGCCAGCTCCACCAAGGTGACGGGCAAGGGAGTCCAGGACTTTGAGAAGCGCAGCAAACCCACGACGGCGGCTGTGCGGAAACAGAAACTGGGTCCCCAGGAGTCCAACTTCATCAACCAAAACGAGTTCGTGGATCTATCGAAGAGCACCAAGCTGCAGCAGCCCCAACCCTTCCAGGTTGCTCAGAATAAGCCGAACCAATTGGAACCACATTACCAGCGACACAAGCCACAGGTGACCCGTGTGGGTGGCCAGGAGCCAGCTCCCTTTTCCGCACCCAGTTCCAAGCCGCGCTCTTTCACCAGCCGGGGAAGCATCACCTACAAGGCCACCACCGAACGTTATGCTGACCAAGAGCTGTACTATCCCACGACCAGTTCCACAACCAGGGCCAAGGAAGCCTACACACCCACGACCTTCCGACCCACCACCTATAAGAAACCGTACGAGCAGAGCTACCAGACGCAGCTAACCCATCGACCCATCCAGGCGGCCACCAAGAAGGCAGCCAGTTCGGTGACCACAGCTCCACCCACTACCGCCAATCCACATGCCAATGTGGATGAGGACGATGGACAGTACCATCCGGAGCTCTACGAGAACGACTTCCCACGCAATCGCATCCGATTCCTGCGCAATAGATCCACCAGCTCGACTACCTCGACCACAAGTGCTCCTGTGGTTTCCAGCAGGCAGCCACATGGCTTCCAGCAGTCACATCATCATCTGAAGAGCCAACAGCAATCCTTCTACCAAAAGGAGCGCGAACGGGAGCGGGAACGGGAGCGTGAGCGGGAATCGGACCTCAGCGACGAGGATGAGCTCTTCAAGACCGCCCAGTCACTGAATTTTGGAGCGGCCAGCATTAACAAACTGAGGGCGGATATCTACAAGGCGGAGAAGACCTCGCAGCAGTACAACTCGCAGTACAGTCCGCAGCTGGCATCTAGTCCGCAGGCCAGCAGTAGCAGCACCACTAGCACCACCAGTACCACAACTAGCACCACCACCACTACCACTCGACGACCTCCAACCACCGCCAGAGCAACCACTACCGCCTTTACTTCAAGTGCACCACCCGTGGAGTCCAAGAAGTCGGCTAAGAGCAAAAAGGAGCAGCAGCAGCTGGAGAAGAAGGACCGACCAGCCGGCAAGAGGCCTCCACATGCAGACGAGGACACCAGCTACGATTACGCCTACTACGACACGGACTGAGCGGAAATCCTGCCCAGGACTCGCACTAACTACTTGCATAATCACACCCAATAGCCCTTTCCCGTACCACACATACCCCCTACATACATAGGTGCCACAGTAATTTAAAGAGAAATCCTCCCATGAATAGCATGCTCATCGTAATTCCAAACCCCATTTGCATACATATCTTACTTACGAACCGCTTGACACCCTTTAACACTCGCGTACATTCATTCAATCCGTTTCAGATGCGTTCTAATGAATTTCCATGCGTGTATCTAGTTATTTAAATAAAACGAATATTGTTAGTCGTTAGACAATTGTTAAATTGAAGCTAATTGGCAGCGAAAACCGTAATGAGGACCGGCTGGGGAATGTTTTCATAAATTCCATTGAACTATTTTGTACTTGTTGTCCAATATTCAATGAATTCACTACGAAATTGTATTAGCCTTAAGTTTTCTTGTAAATAAAATGATATGTAATTCGTAAAAATATTGTTTGATATTTTTTGGTACTCTGATGTTTCACTGATCAAATGAGCAATGTATAATTCAAAGCAAAAACTAATTATACTCGTTACTCGTAGAGTAAAAGGCTATAATATAGTAGATTCGTTGAAATGTATGTAACAGGCATATATTCTTGATCAGGATCAATAGCCTAGTCCAACTGGCCATGTCCTGCATTTAAATTAAAAAAATTACAAATTCAATAAAATTAAAAAATGACCCAAAGCTGAAGTTCTAAGCTCCATAACTCAACTTATTTTAATCGGATTTTGAAGTGGCATACCTCTAAATGTTTCTGGCGCAATTCTCTAAAAAACTGCATTTAAATTTAAAAATTGATTTTTTTTTGATTTTTTTTTTTAAATTTTTTTGATGTTATGATGTTTTACAAATTCAATAAAATTAAAAAATGACCCAAATCTGAAGTTCTAAGCTCCATAACTCAACTTATCTTAATCGGATTTTGAAGTGGCATACCTCTAAATGTTTCTGGTGCAATTCTGTACAAAACTGCATTTAAATTTAAAAATTTATTTTTTTTTTATTTTTTTGTTTTTTTCTTGTTGTAGAAATTCAAAAAACCTAAGAAATGTCATAAGGTTGAAGTTCTATACTCCATAACTCAACTTATCTTAATCGGATTTTGAAGTGGCATACCTCTAAATGTTTCTGGCGCAATTCTCTAAAAAAACTGCATTTAAATTTGAAAATGTATTTTTTTAAATTTTTTTTGTAATTTTTTTGATATGATGTTTTACAAATTCAAAAAACCTAAGAAATGTCCTAAGACTGAAGTTCTAAGCTCCATAACTCAACGTATCTTAATCGGATTTTGAAGTGGCATACCTCTAAATGTTTCTGGCGCAATTCTCTAAAAAACTGCATTTAAATTTAAAAATATATTTTTTTTTGATTTTTTTGTATTTTTCTTGTTGTAGAAGTTCAAAAAACCTAAGAAATGTCATAAGGTTGAAGTTCTATACTCCATAACTCAACTTATCTTAATCGGATTTTGAAGTGGCATACCTCTAAATGTTTCTGGCGCAATTCTCTAAAAAACTGCATTTAAATTTAAAAATTTATTTTTTTTTTTGATTTTTTTGTATTTTTCTTGTTGTAGAAGTTCAAAAAACCTAAGAAATGTCATAAGGTTGAAGTTCTATACTCCATAACTCAACTTATCTTAATCGGATTTTGAAGTGGCATACCTCTAAATGTTTCTGGCGCAATTCTCTAAAAAACTGCATTTAAATTTAAAAATGTATTTTTTTTTGATTTTTTTTGTAATTTTTTTGATATGATGTTTTACAAATTCAATAAAATTAAAAAATGACCCAAATCTGAAGTTCTAAGCTCCATAACTCAACTTATCTTAATCGGATTTTGAAGTGGCATACCTCTAAATGTTTCTGGTGCAATTCTCTAAAAAACTGCATTTAAATTAAAAAATTTATTTTTTTTTGATTTTTTTGTATTTTTCTTGTTGTAGAAATTCAAAAAACCTAAGAAATGTCCTAAGACTGAAGTTCTAAGCTCCATAACTCAACGTATCTTAATCGGATTTTGAAGTGGCATACCTCTAAATGTTTCTGGCGCAATTCTCTAAAAAACTGCATTTAAATTTAAAAATTTATTTTTTTTTTGATTTTTTTGTATTTTTCTTGTTGTAGAAATTCAAAAAACCTAAGAAATGTCATAAGGTTGAATTTCTATACTCCATAACTCAACTTATCTTAATCGGATTTTGAAGTGGCATACCTCTAAATGTTTCTGGTGCAATTCTCTAAAAAACTGCATTTAAATTAAAAAATTTATTTTTTTTTGATTTTTTTGTATTTTTCTTGTTGTAGAAATTCAAAAAACCTAAGAAATGTCATAAGGTTGAATTTCTATACTCCATAACTCAACTTATCTTAATCGGATTTTGAAGTGGCATACCTCTAAATATTTCTGGCGCAATTCTCTAAAAAACTGCATTTAAATTTAAAAATGTATTTTTTTTTGATTTTTTTTGTAATTTTTTTGATATGATGTTTTACAAATTCAATAAAATTAAAAAATGACCCAAATCTGAAGTTCTAAGCTCCATAACTCAACTTATCTTAATCGGATTTTGAAGTGGCATACCTCTAAATGTTTCTGGCGCAATTCTCTAAAAAACTGCATTTAAATTTAAAAATTTATTTTTTTTTTATTTTTTTTTGTAATTTTTTTGATATGATGTTTTACAAATTCAATAAAATTAAAAAATGACTCAAAGCTGAAGTTCTAAGCTCCATAACTCAACGTATCTTAATCGGATTTTGAAGTGGCATACCTCTAAATGTTTCTGGCGCAATTCTCTAAAAAACTGCATTTAAATTTAAAAATTTATTTTTTTTTTGATTTTTTTGTATTTTTCTTGTAGAAATTCAAAAAACCTAAGAAATGTCCAAAGGCTGAAGTTCTATACTCCATAACTCAACTTATCTTAATCGGATTTTGAAGTGGCATACCTCTAAATGTTTCTGGCGCAATTCTCTAAAAAACTGCATTTAAATTTAAAAATGTATTTTTTTTTGATTTTTTTTGTAATTTTTTTGATATGATGTTTTACAAATTCAATAAAATTAAAAAATGACCCAAATCTGAAGTTCTAAGCTCCATAACTCAACTTATCTTAATCGGATTTTGAAGTGGCATACCTCTAAATGTTTCTGGTGCAATTCTCTAAAAAACTGCATTTAAATTAAAAAATTTATTTTTTTTTGATTTTTTTGTATTTTTCTTGTTGTAGAAATTCAAAAAACCTAAGAAATGTCATAAGGTTGAATTTCTTTACTCCATAACTCAACTTATCTTAATCGGATTTTGAAGTGGCATACCTCTAAATGTTTCTGGCGCAATTCTCTAAAAAACTGCATTTAAATTTAAAAATGTATTTTTTTTTGATTTTTTTTGTAATTTTTTTGATATGATGTTTTACAAATTCAATAAAATTAAAAAATGACCCAAATCTGAAGTTCTAAGCTCCATAACTCAACTTATCTTAATCGGATTTTGAAGTGGCATACCTCTAAATGTTTCTGGTGCAATTCTCTAAAAAACTGCATTTAAATTAAAAAATTTATTTTTTTTTGATTTTTTTGTATTTTTCTTGTTGTAGAAATTCAAAAAACCTAAGAAATGTCATAAGGTTGAATTTCTATACTCCATAACTCAACTTATCTTAATCGAATTTTGAAGTGGCATACCTCTAAATTTTTCTGGCGCAATTCTCTAAAAAACTGCATTTAAAATTAAAAATTTATTTTTTTTTTGATTTTTTTGTATTTTTCTTGTAGAAATTCAAAAAACCTAAGAAATGTCCTAAGACTGAAGTTCTAAGCTCCATAACTCAACGTATCTTAATCGGATTTTGAAGTGGCATACCTCTAAATGTTTCTGGCGCAATTCTCTAAAAAACTGCATTTAAATTTAAAAATTTATTTTTTTTTTGATTTTTTTGTATTTTTCTTGTTGTAGAAATTCAAAAAACCTAAGAAATGTCATAAGGTTGAAGTTCTATACTCCATAACTCAACTTATCTTAATCGGATTTTGAAGTGGCATACCTCTAAATGTTTCTGGCGCAATTCTCTAAAAAACTGCATTTAAATTCAAAAATTTATTTTTTTTTGATTTTTTTTGTAATTTTTTTGATATGATGTTTTACAAATTCAATAAAATTAAAAAATGACCCAAATCTGAAGTTCTAAGCTCCATAACTCAACTTATCTTAATCGGATTTTGAAGTGGCATACCTCTAAATGTTTCTGGCGCAATTCTCTAAAAATCTGCATTCAAATTTAGAAATTCAATTATTTTTTAATTTATTTGTATTTTTCTTGTTGTATAAATTAAAAAAAAATTAAAAACGTCCTAAGGCTGAAGTTTTATACTTCATAACTCAACTTATCTTAATTGGATTTTGAAGTGGTATATCTCTAAGTGTTTCTGGAGTAATACTTTCAAAAAATTTCCATTAAAATTTAGAAAATTTGTTCATTTAAATTTTGTTGTAATTATACCCGTTACTCGTAACGTAAAAGGGTATACTAGATTCGTTGAAAAGTATGTAACAGGCCGAAGGAAGCGTTTCCGGCCATACTTGTGCCACGCCCACACTTTTAAAACATTTTTAGGTTTTTTTCATTTTATAATTTTTTTCCCAATTTCTACCGATATTCCAGAAAATGGTGAAACTTATCGTTTGCACTTCCACTAGCTAAGTAACGGGTATCTGATAGAATTGTATCCTGTTTTTATACTTTTATATAGATACATTGAGAAGGTTTTATTTTATTAAATTATAGTTAAATCTAGTGAAAACTCGGAATCTGCAAAATCAAAGATCCTTAGTCCTTGAACTTCTGGCGAACACATCGCGGCATGGGAAATAGGTAAACCAGCATGTTAAATGCGGCCAAGCCCACAGCAAAAGCGCAGGAGGCAGCCACATCGATGGTTTCCTGTGCAATAAGTGATATAATCATTCAATAAGATACCATATTACCATCCCACTTACATCGGGATCCGGCAATCCCAGTCGTTCGTGCATGAAATCCGCTGGCTTGGGACAGATCACGGAGGCGGTGGGAGTGCAGTTGAGTTTTCTCGACTGGAAGGCGATGCTGTGCAGCAAAGAGGATGCGTATCTCGTGTGGGTGCCCTTTGTGTTGTCCTGCAGCCAAGGTTGAAGTCCCTTGAAGGAGCTAATGGAAAATACCCCTTGAGTAACTCAAACTATAGTATAAGCACCTCCTCACTCACCGCACAGTTCCACTGGCCAGAGCAATACTTATGACAAGCACGTAGGTCACCGCAATGGCTGCGTTGAAAGGAACCTTGACCACCAAAAGAAACGCGATCGTGAGCTGTTCAGCCAGCACAAAACTGGACCAAAGGGCAACCAGCAAGTAGGCAAAGACAGTACCATTGTTGTACTTTACATCCAACAGAAGACTGAAAGAAATAGTCATATAGTTTGGAATCCCACACCCATAGTCATGGAACTTACGGATACACAACACAACTGGCTATTACGGCAGATACGGCGGAGAACGGTATGGACACGGAGTTGTAGGCAATCAGTAGAGTGGTGCCCGAATAGAGACCCTCTGGAGTATCCTGCGAAAACTTCTTGCGCCAAATGGGAACTACGAAATGGTTGTAGATGCTGAGACACCAAAAACTTGCATGGTAAATTGTAACTTACATAGAGATATGGTAGTCAAAACTCCACAGCCGTACGACAGCCCCAAAATATTAAGGATCATGCCGTTTTTGGTAAAGAATCCATGGGAATCGTCCTAAGAAATGACGTTTATTAATGCGTGAAATGCATAATAATGGCTTGTCTTACCCCGACAGCTGTGTAAAACGCCCATAGGGTGCTTAAGGCCACAGGAAGTAGCAACAGGCGTAGAAATAGTGTCTTCATACCAACGAGTCCACATGAGAAGGTCGATGCCAGTAGTTTTCTAGAAAGGAAATCAAATATGTTATCATATCCGGAAATAAATAATAAGCTATACTTACAGATACAACATAACCCAAACTTTGAGCTCCCCAGGCTTGCCATAGGCTAGGGGCACTTTGCCAGATCCCATGTTGTTCAGAGGAGCATCCGAAATGGGAGTTTCCCTGGAGAATCGTTCCACCAGTGCCTCGATCTGCTGGCTCGACTCCAGGAAACGATCGCGACTGCGACGATCCACAGTGGACAGGCAGAGATAGTACATCAGGGGATTCTCCAGTTGGGGACAAGGGAATCCAATGCCATGGAAGTACTCCAGCATGGCTCGAGTGCCTCCTGAGTAAACCACTCCGCCCAGGCAGAGGAACAGTGCCCTATCCAGGAATGGGAACACATCGGAGCGAGGTTTCTCCAGCGACAGAAGAATTCCGCAACCGGTCTTCTTGGCCGTGTTGGACAAAATCGATATCAGCAGATAGGCACTCAAAGGATCCAGGCCATGGGTTGGCTCATCCAGCAATAACATAACTAAAAAAAATTTTAGTTATAAAAAAAACCTTGTGTTGCGTGCATGATCTTACCAGGATCTCTGACCAACTGTATTCCAATGGCCAGGCGACGCGCCTCACTGATGTTAAGGTACTCCACTCTCTTGTGAGCCACTTGGGAAAGAGCCAAGTCAGCCAGCACTTGGCGCACTTTGGAACTCTTCAGATAGCCACTCAACTAAAAAGGGATTGGGCATTCTTTCTAATCTTATATATACGTGTATGTAGATATTACTCACTATGGTGGGGGTATAGTGCAGTGTTTGGGCCACCGTGAGACCAGGAACAAAGGTGCAGGACTGGGTGACATAGCCACATCTCTGTTGAAACAATGCTTTGGATAGCGGCGATCCATTGAGTAGCACCTGACCACGAGTGGCTCCATCGGCACGTCTAGAAATAACATCCAAAAGAGCCCTCTTGCCACTACCTAAAATTGGTAATATTATTATTACATCGTTTTAAAGACATATAAATCAGTAAAAATACCCTTCGAGCCCAGAATGGCCATAACCTCGCCACTGTGCACGGTCAGATTGACACCTTTGAGCACCAGGGCCGAATTGCCGGCTCCATTGAAACAGCCACCACCATCCACCTGTTGTTTGAGCCAAAAAGAAAACAAAGAAGGTTTAATAGAAGGGTTTTCCACGAGTCTGAAGAGAACGTACCTCGGTGGTGTGGAAAATGTTGTGGGCTTCCAGTACGTAGTCGCTGCCGATCATTTTCATAGCCAGCACTGGGAGAGCTGCTTTTGTTTGTTTATACTTCTCGTGCTCTTCGGCCCAAAAACACTCTGTTCGTCACTGAAGAGTGGTTTAGTTAGGAGCTGTTTTCCAGGGAGGGAAGAGAGAATATAAAGAGGGGATAAGAGAGATAGAGATATATAGAGGCTTGGTTGTACATTGATATTTGGTAAAAACTGAAAACAAAAATTGTGCGCCCGTAAATGTTAAAAAAATCCTATAAATAGTATATATAATTTGATACGCTCTAAAAGAACTTTAATACATTATAGATATTTTGGCTACCTAACTAAAAAAATATTCTTCTGTAGATACTTACCTCCGCGAACACGTCCTCACCAACTGAGCGCGCTGTTCCAACTGAACTGAAACTGTTGCTTGCCCACATAGGCCATTCCAATTGGCATGGCTCGCTCCAAGCCGCTCCGCTCCGGCTGGAAAGCGGCTCTCTCCGGCCAACTCGCTTCCAGGCGAAGCAAGCGGGCTAAGATGGCGGCCGAGGCCAAGTTCAGATCAGTTCGCTGCGAGCCGAGCTCCGAGAGAGTTGCCTCCACCGATCCGCGGTTCGCGTCGATCCGATTTTTTTCTGGCGGCGCCCCAACACACAGTTCCCAGCAGAAAATAACAAAAATAGGAAAACACATTAAACGCTTTTGGAAATCTAATTGAAATATTCACGGCTTAACGGGCTTTAATATACACACATATATCTGTGCAAAGGCGAATATTTTTTAATGGCCACCGGGAAGTGCATGCAAATGTGGTTATTAGTTGACTCGCGTTATATCCAATAGATACCAAAAATAAAAAGAAAAATAAGTGGCAAAAATACAAGTGACGAGTGTGTGTATGTGAGCAGTGGTATATATGGTCTAAATAAAATATGCAGACATCGGTGTAGCCAGCAGATCGACATTGTAATGTAAGTGTTTTGCCCAAGTTATGAATGAGTGTCGCCGAGCGGCTAATTAGAGTCCAACTGTCCAACTGGTATTTACTGTTAATTGTATAAGGCCAACGGCAGCACTTGCCACCTCGAACCAAATGAAACCGACGAGTATCCACCACGCTCCACGTTCCATTCCTTTGGGTATAATACTAATACCTTCTGGTTCTTCTGTTTTTCGTACTCCCCTCCACTGTTCTTCTGTTCTGCTCGCGCGGTCGTCACCATCGCAGGTCAAAGATCCCGCGAGCGGGTTTTGTCTAGCAAATGTATCTTAGCCCACACTCCATCCACCACTTTGCCGCTCTCCCTGCGCTCAGCGCCCTGCAGAACCCAACCGATCCAAAGTGGAAGTCCAACTCGAAGCCAAAACCAGAACCCAAGTGCCAGCCAAAGCCATAGTCGCTCAAACAGCCAAGTGCCTGGTGCTCAACTCAACTCGGCTCGGTTTGTCTTGTCTTGTCTTTTATTTTCTCTGCAGCTCACTGCTCCGCTGCACAGGAAAAAAAGCCAGATACTAATTCAAGTATACAAGCAATATTGAATAGTTTGAATATTTATGGTTTCTTTCATCAAATGGCTGCTACACTTACTTGAAAAATATTGTCAGAGTGAAAATATATTTTCTTGTTGGAAATTGAATTAAGAAATTTATTTCATTTTTAGTAAGCTGATATACAGTCATTAACAAAATTTTATAATTTGTATTTCAAAATTTCAAATTATATTTCCAACATTTTTATTCAAATCATAAAGGAGTATTTCTTTCTGTGTGCCGGTGTGTATCTCACAGATACAAGTTTCAGTTTGTTTGTTTGTTTGGCCGGCTGTCTTTGCCTTTGCCAATGCCTCTTTGCGGAGCTGGGTTCTTAACTCTCCGGGGATCGTTGTGTGTTTGCTCTACCCGCAGATGCCAGCATCGTCTTGGTCTGGCCATTTCCTCGTAAAAACAGCCTTAAACTTACGATAGAGCTCTATAGCCATTATTTGTTTTTATGTTTATAGTTCAACCACATAAATATGTTTTTATGCGCCATTAGAATAGTTATTTTTTGTAAGAATGCAAACGTCTTTTCGTACATAATTCAATTTAATCGAATTATTTGTATAACAATACATAGTAATATTTAATCCGCTTAAATTCAAACGAATTAAGTTTGTCACGTATTTCGATGACCCGAAGTGCGATGAATTTAATTTCGAACAAGATGTGAAAGCCATAACAGGTCTGAAAGACGGTTTTTGCTGAGTAGGGGCAAATACTTTATTCCGGAGTATGCTCTTCCTATATTGGCTCATAAAGAATAACCACGCGGCTAAGCAACTTTCACATTCATTTTGCAATTTCGATGCAGCTGCCAATCTGCGCTTACAATCACTTTCAAAATTTCGTGTCGCGGAACTTGATTTCTCATCGAAAATGAGCTGCGGGCTAAGGGAGATTTTGGCCATTGGGATAATTTGGGCCTTTAGCACCATTCTCAGGGCCCCGACTGCAGATCATTGCCAAGCTAATGCCTTTGGCCCTTCGCAATGCAAATTCCCAGCCTCCTTTTGGGGTCCATTTCACTGATTCTCGCACATAATTAGCCATGTCATGTTGGCCGGACCGTTAGAATGCTGTTAAAGCCATGGCCAAGCTCATTGAAAAAGTTCCAAAATGATTTCTGGTTCTTGGAGCTGACTTGCTGGATTGTTTTTCTTGATTTTCCCATTGTCGTCGTTTTTGCCGGCGTTTTTGTGGCGTAAATTAGTTAACAGTATTATTATAGCCGCTAACGGGGCTCCATGATTTGTGGCTGCTGTTCGGGCCCCCCACCCCAAATAAGAGATACTAAACCATTTTAGGGCAGAGAGAAAAAAGCGTTTAGAAGCGGACAGGCAGCCAGTGACAAGATCTCCGAGCGGTCGTAATTCTTTTTCGACAATTTCAATTCCAGTCCATAAGAAAACAAACACAGAACACAAACTGAGAAAAAAAGGAAAACAAATCAAAAGACTTAAGACAGCAACGCGGAGTCTAGACAAAAAGACCAAGGCGCGGCAAAAAGCCAGCTTAAGTTGAATTGATTGTCAGTTATGGCTTTGTGGTGAGTTCGGATCCGGAGTGGGGTGCTGGTGGTATCTGGTATTGGGTATATGGGATCTGGTCTTTGTCTTGGGTCTAGGCTGGTTTTCTGATTGGTTCTCCATAGGTGTGGCTGCATCTAGTTGGCCAAAACTTGTTCTCGTTCTCTCGGTCCGAGTCCTCCATATGTGTATGCTCGTTTTCAATTGAACTTAGTCGCTGGTTATTCCGATGGATGGATGGATGAATCATTGCATTTAATGACACCCGACTGGATGAAGTCAGCGGCGGGCCATTGGAACGATGATGAGAATGATGATGAGACGAAGACCCTTGGCCGCTGGCAAAGTGAAAACTCAACGAGCAGGAAATGCAAATTCGAAATTTCCCACTTGCATAGGCAATCTCTCCAGCTGCGGGGCCATTAAAAGCTGCGACCATGAAAATTGTGGGCATTGATAGATACGCTTTGGGGCCACAGTGAGTTAATTTACTTTTTATTGTAATTAAATTAACACAGCATAGCTGAAGAGGTAAGCGAAGAAGAAGCCGCAGAAGCAGAACAGCTGCATAATTAGGCGAAGAAAGTACATTTCAGACTACACACACTTCGTGACTTTTACGGCCGTAAAAACAGAACTCCAAACTCCACTTCATTTCACTCCAAGTTCACAGACACGGTTCTGACATGCCGCTGACATAGAATCAGAATACTGGTAGTCGGTGTCGCAGATGAGACCTTATTTGATTGGACGTGAGTCGAATAAATTGCTCTTAAGAACCGTGTCACATACTTGGCCCCCACATTTTTCACTGGGAAAAATAGCTGGCTTATAACTTTGCTCATTCCCCTAAGATGGTTAGTCCTCCAGATTTCCTTTGTGTTTCAAACCGCGAAATTAAACGGAACTCTGCCAATTTAAAGCTGACTTCATCGCAACATGAAGATGCGAAAAGTTCAATCATAATAAAGTGCGATTATGCGTGTAATTTCTTTGGTTGTAATGGATAGAAATCTCTGACAATAAAATTGTACGATATTTTCGTTGAGTGTGGAGGTGGCGCCCATAAGACCCGGTTGCTGTGTGTCTCTGGGTCTCTGGGTGTGTCGGGAATTTGGCCAAATACGCCTGTCTGTCGCATTTTTATGCATGCAATGGCAACGCAGGGAAAAATTGCCATTTTTCTGTTTTCGTTCGGTTTGCCATGGAATTTATGTCAATTAGCCTGGTGGCACACGTGTTTCCGTGAAGGCGGAGGAGCAAATGGGGGGCGGCGGGATCGGCTTTGGCATGCAAATTTTACCCACAATTGTTGGCCACTTTCACAAGCCTTTCGCAATACAGGAAAGTGTTTTGTTTCGACTCGGTTTTGAGTCGAGTGGGGGATTTGTTTTGGTTTTCAGCTCGGCGTTAATTGCCTGTAAAGATGCCCGAAACTGTGGCAAAGTTTCGTATTCCGTTTGGGCAATTAATAAAACTGACCTTGCCTGAGTTTTCTAACCGCAAAGCAAAAACTGAACGCTGTACACTGAAGCGCTGGAAACTGAAAGCCGATCCGAACCGCTGAAATACGCTGAATTCAGACCACCACGATGGTTTTGCCGGTGGTTTCGGTGGTGGGGGCTATGCAGCCATGACGAATATTCGTTGACGGCATGACATTAGCTCGACTTTTTGGGGTCACAGTCAGCGGAATTCTTGTGCTCGCATTTCTGCCAGCTCGTCGGTTAACTCATTTCTGGTTATGCCCCTGCCGCGGATATTGCCCAATTCGATAGCGATTTGTGGGCCAGATTCATTAGTTTGCTTACAAATCGGGTCAGCTCCAGCGGCTTTGGATTTCCATTAAGCAGTGTTTAATTAATCATTTTTCCTTCTAGTTCTCGAAGTTTTTGTTGACAGCTTGTGAGCTATATTCAATCAATCAATTGCTCGCTCAGCGGCTTTGAAAAATGTTAGAAACCTAAAACTGACGCATCAAAAGCTGTCATTCCACAAATATTTAATAGCAAAAATCGCTGAATACTAGAGTTTGTTAAGTGTGCAGTTGAACGGAGCTAATAATAAATGTGACAGATTTTCATTGCCTTTTTTTCTCGCTGTGCATCCATTCACCTGCTGGGCCTGGACCTATCTCTGCCCGAATTTCGTCGACGTTTACCCACTCATAATCAATTTACGCAGCCGAAACTTTCACAAGTCGCAGAGCTGTGGCAGCTCTCGGATTTCCTCGCTGCGTGCTCGTCTGCTCTTTGACTGACTGTGTCGCTCATCCGCCATGGAGGCCAGTGGAATAACATGGGCATCTATCGCACAACGTGGCCAGCAATTTGCATACTGGCTTTTGCCGGCCAGCAGCGACCACGATTGGGCACAAAAAACGTGCTAAAAATCAAACAGAAACCCCAACCAAAATCTCTGGAACCCGAGTGTTCAATTAACACACAAACACACACACACACATAACAACTTGTCTCGGATGCCTTTCCTCTCAAGGCATAATCACAAAAAATTTCATCTTTTTCGAACCGGACGACGGCAAGTTCAACAAACCGCTTTGTCGTCGGAATGAAGCGAGGAATGTTGGCCACGGGCTGCCGATCATTTAATTTGTTTATTATTAATTTGCATCTAGCTGTGGCATTAGTCAGCTCTGGAAATCGGCTCTGGTTGCCCGCCCCTTTTGCCGGCCACGCCCATTCCAAACTGCATATATCTGCTGGTCCTGAATAGGGTATATCAACTTTTTGCTTCGAATGTGTCTAAATATATCTGCATACGCGATTCAGTCGGGTTTTTGGTTTAACACATCTGTGACTTTACATTTTGCGGTTTCTTTTTGAATTTTGTGTGATGTTTAATGATTCACAGGGGCATTAAATACTTATTTAATGGAAAACATCCCATTTAATCAGGGACTCACATCTTTATTTCTGATTGCTTTTGCTTTGAACGTACAATACCAAGCTCATATGAAGAATCCCAAAATTATCAAGAAAATCGCGGTTGAAAACCAGTTTTCAGAATAAAGCATGTATAGCCTTTATAAAATATTTCTTATACTCTCCTTTAGTTTGACAATACGATTTTTCATAAAGAGCTGAATTTAATTAACTGAACCTAAGATGATGGTTTTTGAAATTTGGTCGGTCAGTCAATTAAATATTTGATGGGAAAATAAGGTATTAACTTTCTAAGCAATTTCAGAATGGAAAATGATTTCTTTAACTCAACCTTATGCTCTACTAATTTAGGCTTTTAATGTGACTTTTTCCCACTTTAATAAATACTTTACGGCTTTAAGTGCATGCATGCTTCGTTGTGTATGCAGTTTCTTTTAATAATCGCAAATTACAAAACTGCAACTGTGACCCACTTTGAGGCAGTCGCAAAATATTTTGTAGGCATTTATCATACGCCCCGTGTGCCATAGCAGCTACAAATTATGCCACAAGAGTTTCACTTTCACAGCGAGATCATTGTTGGGCAGTGGTTTTCCCAGTCCCTCAGTTAGTCACTTGGTCACTTAGTCAGTTTGCCAGGCTGTCAGCGGCAATCAGGTGACCGCTTTTGATATGGGAGGGAGACCGACCCACCTGTTGACTACATTTCCAGGGAACCAGTTTAGGGCCAGTGAAATGAAGAGCCCAGCAACCCAATTTAATTGGCTTTTGCGTGGGAATGAAATTGGACACAGTTGGAGCTGGCTGAACCGCAGGTCAGGTCGCGTTTGCAGCTCAATCACTCGCACATCTAGCAATCTTTCAAGTGCCAGCCCACAAAAGCCAGCCAAGAGAGAGCAACAAATTGTTATGGCCGGGACCACTTGAAAGCCACTTGGGCGCGCTCCATTAAGTCATAAAATGTGCGCACAAGTCGGCGATCAGTGACCGAAAAGCCGGAGGAGGAACCCAAGTTGTCGTGGTCGTCGCAGCTCGTGTCTAACAGCAGTTTTGCATCAATGGTCATGTGAGTCCAACTGCAGCAACTGCAGCAGCGAACGGTTCTTGACTTGTCAACTGACGCATGTATCGCTAGCTTCTCCACTTCGTGGCCAACGGGAATGCAGACTGACAGCAACGGGACTCCACCGTCTGCATATACAACATCTTGGCCAAGTCGAGCGACAACCAACCTCCAAAGAGCCAACAGTCGACAGCTGGCTGGCAATTGGCCTAATCGGCCAATAGAGTGCTAAGCTACTGCCAATAACCGTTGGCCCATTACTTAGCGCATTGTGATTTATTCACACCAGCCAGCAGCAGCCGGCCTCGTTGACAGGCAAATATCCGCTAGCTGCGGCTTTAGTTTCTGTCCGATCTGACCGATCATGCAACAATCGAGCGACCCAATTGGCCATAAGCCATGGGCCATAAGCTAATCAAGACGGTGATATAATTCCGGCCAGACTGCAGTTGTAACTGCAGCGGAACTTGCCTGGATTTTGGCCACAGCTGCGTCCAGTTTTTTGCAGACATTCGAGAACCGCAATCCGATAAAGGCGGTTTAGGCTTGGCCAATAGACAAATAGGTGCGGAATGCCACCCAAAAGCTAGGGAGAAACAATAACCAACTAATACGTAAAAGCCATGGGAACTGGACAATCGCATTTCAAAAGTAGAGCAGACATTTAATGTTTTTTAAATGTTCTGCTTACTCCCATTTAGATTATAGCTATCGAAGCCATGTCAACATTGTGTTTTTTTAAATTCTAGAACGTGCTGAAGCAGAAGTTTTCAACATTGTTTATGATAATAGGGTGCTTAACAGCTTAGCCGGCAAACTTATGTTATACAAAACCTATAAACATTACTATATATATGTATATATATAATATATATATATAAATGGAGATATATATCTCCAAAAAGCTTAACAAACTGCTCATTGATGTGCCTCTGTTAATAATACCCTTTTGAAAAGTCTTGTGCCATTTAAGCAAACAATTGAATCAATCAGTGGTAATTTTTACCCACTCAATTCAATGTATATACACAACATAATGAGCTTGATTTTGATAGTTTATAATGCAAGTGCGAGTCTTTAGCTAAAAACTAAAAGTCACTTTAATCATTTCTTCACTTTCCCCCGCCGTCAGCTGTCGGTTTTTTAGCCGCCACTCGCAATGTTTTTGCTTCACGCACTTGTGCGAACAATGCATATAGATATAGATACGCGTACTGCCAGATACTTAGATATCGGCTGCCGCGTCATCGGAGCATCGTGATCGCATAAATCAATGCCGCCGTCTTGGTCGCAGCCGTATCATTGCCCCCAATACCATTCATTCATTACAGGCCGCTCAACAAAGCGACGCTTTTAAATGCCGAACATCTCTTTTTCTTTGCGGCCCATATAGACATTGCCCAGTTTGCAGTGTGGATACACTGGGAGAAATTTCGAATGCAACGGTTCCCAATCGCGAAAGAAGCTAAGAATGATGCGCACAGATGACACACAGACTATAGATTATGCATTCCGAAAGGCATGTAATAAAAAAATCATAAAGAAAGCTATAAGTGCGGGCTATCATTTGCTTCGGTAGATAGTTTTTGGTGCATATGGTAAGTGCCAGTGTCTGAGCCGGCATATCTGTGTAGGCATCTTGCCATGGGGATGGGGGATGGGTGATGGGTGATGGGTGATGGGATGCCTGAACTGTATCAGGCTCTTTCGCGGGTCTTCAAACCCCCTTAGCTGACTTCCACTTTCACTCGGCGTGAGCCAAGTGCTGGCCAAAAGCTGAAAGCAGGCAAAAACGGTTACAGCCGCGGAAAAAACAGAGGCAAATAATTGTATGAGGGAAAGAAATGATAATAATAAACAAAAACGCTGGCAGACAAACAAAATCGAGTAAAATGCGTTGAACGGCGAGGAAAATCCGTTTATGCGATTATGCCACAAGTGGTGATTTTAATTAAAGCGAATTTAACACGCAATTAAAAGTGTTAATACTCCAGTAGAGTTCCGCGGCAACTAAGCTTAAAATCTTATAGTTATCTCCTACCAGATGGGCGAAAGCATTTGCGGCATGGAATGCCGTAATCCGAGCGCCAAGCTTTCTTCTTCTGGGCTCCGCCCCCCAATCCCAATCCCAAGACCCCAAACCCAAGCCCAAACCCCAATCCCAGCTTCACTTTCGGCGACTGTCTAGTGGAGCTTGCAATTACGAATATGGTTAGCAGCTGGAGTATCTTACCACTCACTTTCGCCGCACTCGTAGAACACTTGAGTACCTACCATACGTAATTTCTGCGGCTGGCAAAACGGAAGTCCGCACGGCTCGCTGCACTGCATCCATTTGGCGTCCACACAATCCGGCGACAGCAGTTGCATTAGTTTGTTTGCCTTTCGTTCGCTTAATGTTGCATAATGCTGCAGAGCAAACATTGGTTCATTTGCATGGATTTTTGCTACCTTTTTTTTTGGGAGGCTTGCATTGGCAATTAAAAACCTAGAGGCCGTGTCCAAATGAGCTGCGCTTTGTTCTCGCGCCCGGCGTTTTGGATTTCCTCAAGATGCGGAGCTGGAAATCTGAAAGACAACACCCGATTAGCTGGCATTATATTGGCGGCTTTTTGTGCACCTGCTCCGATTAAGACTCTCAAAAACGATATATATGTGGTATTGCACAAAAGAACACTGTGGTAGTAAGACGGTAAATACCAGACAAGCATTATTTATTTTGCTTTATTTATCATAAACAGTAGATAAAGCAGCCAAGAAATTTTCGAATAGGTCTTTGTTAGGGTGTCTTAAGTTCGCCTCACCTCATATACGACACCATTTCCGCTTTTGTCATGACAATGCTTGTGAATATGCGACTGCGACTCCGATTCCGAATCCGAATCCAACTTCGACTCCAACTGGCGCTGCGTGTAGATAGATGTGGGCATTGTCATTAGGCTAATTCCCGCCAATTATGAGTAATAATAGCGCAGCCGTTCTCGCGTCATTCTTGACCCACTTTAAGTCGGAATTAGCGTAATATTTTGGCCCGAACTCTCTAACCCGATCCGTGTGTTTTCCGGCAGATCATGGAGCTGAGCAACTTTTCGAGCGGCAAGAAGATGTCACGCGAGGAGCGCCGCTACTCGGTGCCCCACGGACCCAATACCCCACTGCCACCGGCGGCATCCGAGGATCTGCACGCCTGGTCCATCTACAGGTGAGTGGTTGAGTGGTTAAGAGGTTGAGTGGGGAAGCCCATTTCGAGACATGGGTGTGGCCACTGGAGGAAGGGGTAGTAGCTGGGGTAACCACTGGCTGCAGCCGCACCTGCCCATCGAAGTTTTGACGGTTGATTTAACCGCAGCGGACGGAAGTTCAAATGCCATAAATGGCTAATTGAAGAGCCCACGGCCAAGCCCTCCAATCATGTCCAGCTGACCGCAACTGCAGCCGCCCAGTGCAGCTCTCTATGACGCTTTCCATCCTCCACAACGAGAAAATACAAATACCCCCATCCCGTCCCATCCGTAGGCAAAACCTGAACTCTGACTTCACCGATTCGGCTCTGGGCTCGTCGGACAAATCACCGCTGCCATATGGAAACTTCCAGCTACGCGATACCACAGTTCAATCAATCTTAAACCATCCGCGCTACGGACCCAAGTGAGTAATCCCATACGTTATTTAAATCAACAGTTATTAAGCATAATCAAGCGTTGATAATTCCGGACTGTGATCTCAGCGCTTGAGAGTGTCGGATACGTAGAAAAACACATAATAGAATTAGCTATACCTAATTCATTTAAGAAGATATATGGTTTATATACTTTACTATTAAACCAAACTCACGTAATCCTTGCAGATCTCCCTTGGGCTCAAATATGTACACATACTTGAAGTTCGGACTGCCACGCGTATTTCCGCCAAATGCTGGATCTCAGCGCTCGCATCGTCCTGGTCCGGGTCCGGGACCGGGTCATGGTCATGGTGGCTCCAGTGCCCTGGGCGGAGTGCGGGGACGAGTGAACCGCGCCTTTCGGGACAGCTCAGGGGCACCGGCCGGAGCCGGGAGCAGTGGCTACGACAGCAGCGATAATGAGACGACCCGCAGCCGAGTGCCGCCCAATCTCCGGAAGTATCGCAGCGAGTCCGACTTCCGTGCCATCGGCGGCATGCCCCACTCGCGCCCTGAGTCGCGGGCTCAGATCGGTGGAGGCGGTGTGCCGGTGGCTGCCCTTCGGCAGGCCAACAGCCGGGCCAGCATTGCGGTGGGTCAGCACCACCACCAGATGCAGCAGCATCAGCAGCAGTATGGGAAGCACTACGGTCACAGATCGCACAGCGAGGCGGATCTCCTGGGAGCCGGATTGAGCCAGGTGGATGGCGGTGGTGGGATGGGCTACGACTACAACGAGGCCCGGCTGTACGGCAGTTCCAGGCAGTACGGCAATGGAAATGGTCACAACCCGGGCAGTAGGAAGCAGTCGGGCATGGGCCTGATCTACCCGAACATTCAGGTGCACTGCCTCGATGTGAATCCCTGCCTGCGCGGTGTGTCGATGCAGGCCAAGGCGGGTGATCTCTTCGCCATCATGGCCACCTCGCAGCGGGAGGGAAGTGCCCTGGCCGAGTGCTTGGCGGGATTGAGTGAACGTCTGGGTGGGGAGATCCTCATCAACGGGCAGCAGGTCAGCCGCCATGGTCTACGGGAACTCTGCAGCTATGTCCCGGCACTCGAGGTCTCCTCCCTGGATCCGCGGATGAGTGTCCAGTGCACACTGAACTTTCACGCAGCGCTGAGAGGTCCCATTGATCGCAGCGATCTGGAGGAACGCATGGATGTGCTTATCGAGGATTTGGGGCTGAATACTGTACGTGCCTCCAATGTGTCCACACTGACCCACTCGGAGAAGCAGCGCTTGAGCGTGGCCTGCCAGCTGCTGGCGCAATCCTCGCTGCTGATTCTGGATCAGGTGACCAGCAACATGGACATCTTCGACACCTTCTTCCTGGTGGAGTATCTGCGCCAGTGGTGCAGCGGTGGTCGCATTGTGATAATGACGCTCCAGCCGCCCACCTTCGAGATCCTATCCATGTGTTCCGGCGTGCTGCTGCTCTCCGGCGGAAGGACCGTCTTCTCCGGCAGTCGAGCGGATCTGCCACGACACATGGGCGAACTGGGCTATCCCTGTCCGCCTTTCAAGAACCCAGCGGACTATTACTGTAAGTAATTAGTGGTTGAGTGCAGCTTGAATGGGTAATAATCTGTTTTCTCCAGTGGATTTGGTCACCCTGGACGACCTTTCGGCGGCCGCCATGCTGGAGTCATCCGCCCGCATTGAATCCCTGGCCAACGCCTGGGATCAGATTAACTCGGAGCCCCCGTTGGCCGCGCCGCCCGCCTCGCTACCCAACTTTACAATAAAGGCCGGCTTCTTTGGCCAGATCAGCGCCCTGATCAAGAGATTCGCCGGCTACAAGCAGCCGGGATCACTGCTCACCTGGATCAGCAAGCTGATCGCCGCAGCAGTTCTGTCCCTATGCATTGGCTGCATCTTCTGGGATGTGCCAGCCTCCGATCCACAGCTGACCTACCATGATCGCTTGGGATACCATCATTGCGTCATGGTGCTAGTCTACTGGCCACTGGTCATGCTTACCATCCGGGACACGCAGGAGGATCGCCGCCATGCGGAGCGGGACATTCGCTTGGGCCTCTATACGCGCAGTCTATACATCATTGTTCAGGTAAGGATTTTTGATATCATATTTAATTCTTACGAAAGTATCTTAAACCAGTATCCCTTTCTCAAAACTAAATCCATTGTCTTGTATTTGTTCTGGTTTTAGAGTCTCTTGGGCCTGTTTCCCAGCCTCTGTATCTGGCTGGCCTACTTGCTTCCGGCCCACAGCATGGCGGGACTCTACACCTATTCCAACAGCAGCGATACGGGCATCTACCTGTATATGGGTAAGCTATCTTGGACGCCACATCCCAATATCCCGGTTAATACGCTCTTGATTCATAGGGTACATGCTGCTCTACTTGACGCTCATTCAGACATTGGCACTGTTCTGTGCCCACCTGCTGCCCTGCAAGGTCTCGGCGAGCATTGCCAACGGGCTCATCAGCCTGGCAGTGGCGGCAGTGGGCGGCTATCTCGTGCATCCCCAGAACCTGGCCCAGTTCTGGTCCTGGCTGCAGTTCGTATCGCCGGAACGTTGGCTGCTGCCCGTTCTGGTGCAGGATGAGTACAGTGCCGAGACGTTATCAAATTCCGCAGGACTGCAGTTGTGCCGGAATAAGCAGGTGAGTGTTCTAGAAGGGCTTATCATGGTCATGACAAAAATGTAACTGATCTAATTACCCAATTTCAGGTGCAGCACCAGGAGATTATTGTGCAGCAACCCTGCCCGCCGCCCAACGGTACCCAAGTGCTAGTCGACTTCGAGCTGCTGCCCCAGCAGCACGTGCTGGATCCCACGCCCACCTATGACCAGACCACCTCGGTGGCTTTGGTCCTGGGCTCGGTGCTCGTCTTCTTCGTCACCTTCATCGTCTTTTTGTGCAATTGTCGCGGCGCCTGTCGACGGAAGCGTAGCCGTTAGGCGGATACCGTGACTTGGAGCTGGCCAGGATCTAGAGTTTAGATGGCATAGGCTACCGAACTGTACATTCCATAGAAACTAATTCTTGAAATAAATAGTGTTTAGTCGAGGCAGAGTTCGTTTAACTAACTAAAGGCAAGTGGTTTTATTGAGCTTGGAATGGTCATAAGGCAGTTTGATAGGGTTTGATTAACAGTGTATATGTATATCTAAATCTCTAAAAATATTATCAAAAATATTTCGTAAACTACAATAATTGCATATATGCGTATGCTTTCTGTTTTAAAATGTCTTTTTACGTAGGATTTAGATTTCAGTTTAGAACGAAAATCAAATCGTTTCAGAGAAAATTAACTGAATCGAGAATAAACTACAATTCTCTTATGTATTCGACTTGAGCTTTAGATTTAAAGTTGAACTTTACGGAAATCAAAAGCAAACTTAAAAACTGGGCATCAATCGTATGCTCAAGAGTGTGTTGGACTTAATGATGGAACAATCGCAGATTGGTGTGGGCCATGATGATGCCGTGCTCATCGCAGGCGGCAATGACACCAGCATCATTGGTGGATCCTGCGGGACTGGCGATGTAGGAGACACCGCTCTGGGAAAATATTGAAGCAATTCAAATAAAGCTCCAAGATACTAGTTAAGTAACTCACCAAGCTAGCGCGATCGATATTATCACGGAAGGGGAAGAAGGCATCGGATCCCAGAGCCACACCACTCAGCTGCTTCAACCACTCCACTTTCTGCTCGCTGGTCAATTGAGCTGGTGCCTTATCGAACCTATAAGAAAGGATTGGTTTAGGGACTACAAATATGTGATAAATATCTTCAACTTACATTCCCTCAAACTGCGACAGAGGCATGTCCTTGCCCACGGTTCCGTTAACATAATTGTCGATTGCATTCGAGATCTCCGCCCGCTTCACACCAGCCTTGAATTTCATACCGGCCACACTGGGATGCTGACGCAGCCACCAGTTGTCGGCCTTCTCGCCCGCCAAGCGGGTGCAGTGAATCCTCGACTGCTGACCGGCACCGATGCCCACGACCTGGCCATCACGGGCATAGCACACGGAGTTGCTCTGAGTGTACTTCAAGGCTATGGTGGCCACGATCAGATCCCTCACAGCTGCCTCGGGCAGAGGACCACGCTTGCTCACCACGTTTGAAAATAGCGAGGCATCAATGACCGCATCGTTGCGTTTCTGCTCCAGTGTCAGGCCAAAAATAGTCTTGCGCTCCACCGAAGAGGGTTCGTAGTTGGGGTCCATCTAAAAGTTTAATAATTTTAATTTACCATCCAAAACCAGAATGCATTAAAGCATCAGTCTAACCTGCAGAATACAGTAGCCACCATTCTTCTTTTTCTTCAGGATCTCCAGAGCTTCGGGCTCATAGCCCGCGGCAATAATACCATCGGACACCTCGCGCGAGATTATCCTGGCTGTTACAGCATCGCACACGTCAGATAGGGCCACAAAGTCACCGAAGGAGCTCATGCGGTCCGCTCCACGGGCACGGGCATACGCCGTAGCCAGGGGCGTCAACTGCTCGTACAGATCATCCACCATGCAGAGCTTGGCCTGTGCCGGATTGAGAGGCACTCCAACAGCCGCGCCGGCAGGAGATACGTGCTTAAAGCTGGTGGCCGCCGGCAGTTGCAAGGCCTTCTTGAGTTCCCTAACCAACTGCCAGCCGTTGAGGGCGTCGCACAGGTTGATGAATCCCGGTGAGGCATTGAGGACCGTCAGTGGAAGCTTGGCCAGCTGGGTGTAGAGCTGAGCCGGCTTCTGGTGCGGATTCATGCCGTAGCGCAGCGGTAACTGAGACACACCAGATCCATACTGTTTCCTAAAATAGTCCGAAATGGCATCGTCGTAGGTGGCGGTATGGGTGAATGCCTTGAGGGCCAGAGCCTGTCGCGTCTCCACGGTGGTATTTCCCGAAGCCTTCAACTCCGCCAGGACACGATCATAATCGACTGCTTCGCAGACAACTGTGACCCGCTGGTGATTCTTAGCAGCCGCTCGGAGCAGGGTAACACCACCAATATCGATGTTCTCCACAGCATCGGCGAGCGTAACATCAGGCTTAGCTACGGTGCTGGCGAAGGGGTACAGATTGCAGACCACTAGCTGGATGAGATCGAAGCCCTGTTTGCGCATGTCAGCCAGATCGGAGTCAGTGGTGCGCGAAAGAATTCCAGCATGCACAGCCGGGTGCAGCGTCTTCACACGTCCACCGAGCATCTCTGGGGCTCCTGTAATCTCAGAGACATCCTTCACCTTCAGGCCAGCGCCACGCAAGCTAGTTGCAGTGCCTCCGCTGGCAACCAGGTCGAAGCCCAGTGCCACCAGACTCTTGCCCAAGTCGAGCAGGCCCGTCTTGTCCGACACACTGAGGAGAGCTGGTGAAGATATAGCAATTTTAGATTATCCACACAAAAAGAATCCTGTCGGACTCACCAATCTTGCTGGAGCTCATGGTTGATGTCTGGTTTCTCTGCTGATTGCGTCTGAACCGCTTGGTAACTGAAATGCAAATGAAAGGCGAAACAGTCAGTGGGCGATTGCGATTGTGGGGGCTGGTTGTTGGGTGCACAAACATGTTTACGCGTTTTCGCTTTTCTGGCTAGGCAACGACCTCCCCTGCGGTCTGTGGTCCCCATTAGCGAGGTGTAGGGTTATCAGATACTCCTCAAGCCGCTTGCATCAGCAGCAGATAGGTGTGATTGAGATTCAAAACAACAACAAATGACTCAAATTTACGTAGGTTCATTTATTGCCAAGCCGTGTCTGGTGTTACATTGCCTTATCAATATCATTGACTCGGCTGGGTGGTGGCAGTCTCTGCCTCCTCCTCCCCTTTTTGCTTCTTTGATAGATCCGTTGAAAGCATTGTTTCCTGGTCCCTTTCCCGCTTGCGCTGTCCCTCTTTCCTTCGCTTGTGTTTGTTGGACTTCAGATGCAGTCCCCACTGGTACTCGCCAATGAAATGCCGATCGCATATGTGACAAAAATGGCTGGTCTCCTCATCCAAATCCGCTCCAGGATGCTCCCGTTTGGCCATTGGCTGTATCTCGCAGGTCTCCTCATTTCGATAGCTTTCAATAATAGTCTCTGCCCGCTTATACACTGCCTCCGGCCAAGCTGCTACATCACTGGTGTCCAGTTCGTACAGATCCGGCACCTGACGATCCTTGCTGGCCAGAAACCGATTGTTGATCCACTTCAACTGCTTCCTTGAGTATCGGCGAGTTACTAACTTCAATTCTTCGCTGCAACTGCGCAGGAGTTCCAAGCCATCTGGCAGACCCTTTTCTTTCAGTTTATCTGGAGTTGGCAGCTTGTAACTATGGTTTTTGAGGTACTCCTCTACCTTTTCGTCCTGCTGCTGGTCGTACTTGATCAGATAGGGAATAAACTCCTTGTAGCCAATGGTCTGCAGAACTCCAGACGTATAGGCTTGCACAGTGGTAGCATGGTGGGCATTGTGAAACTGCCGTAGTTCACGGAGCAGCCCTTGGGCCAGCATGCCATCTACACGGGAGTCCAATCGGTCATTGAGAACCTCCTGCTGGCAACGCAACCACAGGAGGACGATGTGTGGGTAGCGGAGTGGTCCGCCTAAGCGATTTCCACCCGGCTGTGCTCGCTGTTCCGCAAGCATGTTGGTCAGAGTCTGCCCGGTGCTCTGATACACTTCGATGGCCCGGATGATCTTGCGCCGGTTGTTGGGGTGAATACGGTTGGCACTACCTGCGTCGATCTTGGCAAGGTGATGATGTAGCTCGAGGGTGGACAAGCTATTCAGTTCGGATTCCTTAAGAAGCTCCCCCGAAGGTTTGCCTTTGTCCAGCTTGACATCCGAATCCACCAGAACATCCCAAAGCAGGGATTCTATGTAGTAATTGGTGCCGCCCACCACAATCGGTGGAGAGTCCTTGGCGAGCAGGCGCTCCACAATGGGCAGTGCCGCGTTGCGAAAGTGAGTGACTGTGAAGGGTTCCGCTGGCGTGGTCACGTCCAGAAGATGATGTCGTGCACGGGACTGCTCCTCCTTGGTTGCCTTGGCGGTGGCGATGTCCAGGTGGGTGTAAACCTGCATGGAATCAGCGCTGATTATCTCTCCTCCGAAGCGTTCGGCCAGTTGCAAAGACAATTTCGTCTTTCCGGTGCCCGTGGAGCCAAGGATCACAATTAGGGGCACCTTTCGAATCATCCTCACTTATTTAGAGGCAATTGAAGTCAATTGATGTAAATAAAACCCACACGTTTTGAGCACGTGTATTCCTCTGGGGACCGAACCACCTGTTGCCGCCTGATGGTTTTAATGTTACATCTTCTTAGTTAAAACTAATTGGTATGCGGTTTCCAATTCGCTTATGAATAGTTAATTATTGCTTAAAAGTAGACTTATTTTGATGCGCAAATTTAGTGTTTAAACTTACAAATTGCAAGATAATCGTATCAATTTAAAAGGGAATAGTGTGACCACACGATATTCTACCGGTAGATAGAAGAACCGCGTTGCCAACCGCTCTCGTGATAAGCGAGCCAATGTTGTCCTAAGGAATTTATAATTGGCGGGTATTTTAAACTAATGTTCTGGTTGTACAGCATGTTTTTTTTTTTAACAAAGCGGTATTAAAATTTTTATAAGTAGCGAAAAAGACAATAATTAAATGGGAATTATTTTTTAAGACAAATTTGAAACCCAGATAATGACAGCTAAAAACAGAAAAGAAAAGTTCGTTAATACGCACTTGCTTGACTTATTTAATTTCTTTCTTATTCTTAATATCTTATTATCGATTATATTTTATTTTTGAAAAATAATGTTTTTTATTATTTTTAATTTTATTTATTAGATATCCTTGCGATGCATCGCACCAATGATTCCACAAAATTTGGCCCATCTCTATGCGGTCGTGCCATCTCCAATTCGCACGCGGCAGTGTGGCCGAAGCAGCGCGCAATTTCAATCCTGCACGGGCAGCTAGTATCGTATATCTTTCGTGCATTTCTTTAATTTACCTGCAGTTCCGTTCCGAATAACAAAACTAGATCAATCAGTTCGATTGAATTTTGACTACTCGCTGTCACAGCAGAACGCAGCGCAGGCGGAAACCTCTGGTGTTCGACATTTATAATATTTGCCGTACCGTGCGACTTTCACTTTTTACAATTCGCACAAGAATAACAACAACAACGACGGCAGCAGCACTAGCAATAGCAGAAACAAAAGCAGCAACAACAGGGACAGCCAGCAGCAACAAAAGCAAAAAAAGAAGAGACGAAGGCGAAGACGAAGAGCGATGAGTGTGGAAAATACCAGAGCGGACAACATCAGGCCACAGAGTGCAGCGAGAATTGTTTAAGAATCAGTGGATTGCACGGCAAATGCAAAGCGAAAAAACAATAACAAACCAGCACAACAGGGCCGCCTGTGCGTGTGTGCGTGAGCGGTAGAGGGTGTGTGTGCGTGTGCCTGTCGTGTGTGCTCCAGCGAGAGTGCGAGTGTGTGCGTGAGTACATTGAGTACATTTCGGTGCCCCCAAAACTTTGTGTGTGTACGTGGTTTGGATTGGATTCGCTGCCAAATTGGGTCAGCTCGCAGAAATCCACCATGGAGAGCAGGACCCAAGTGAATCAGTCAAACCAGCAACAGCAGCAGCAACAGCAGAGGAATCGCCTGCCCTCCTCACCAAGTCCACCGCTGAGTGTCAGTCTCACTGGCGGTCCAAATGCCAACACAACCTTGATGGGCCTTGAGCAGGATGCAGTGCCCTCGTCGCAGCTGGGCAGGAACAACAATAACGGAGGAGGCCACCATCGCAGTCACAGCATCACCAATGCGGCGACCACATCATTTGCAAATCTCCTGGACGGATTTACGGCGCGCGTCTCCACAGCGGTGAGCGTGGCAGGTGGTACTAATATGCTAATGGACCGGAGCAGCCAGAGCGCCGCCAGCACACCAGGATCAACCCATTCGATAGCCAGCCTCACCAGCATGGGCTCACTGGGCACCACGGCCAATGCCCTCTACTCCTCCATCGGCAGTGCCCTCAACTCCATCACCTCACCCATTCAGGCAGCTGCGGCGGCGGCCACGGCCACAACTACCGAGGTGGTGGTGGCGGCCGCCTCTGTGATCACCAACCACCTCAGCTCACCCACCAGCGGCACTCCGCCCCACGGTCTGGATGCGGATGAGGGCGACGACGAGTGCGACGACTGCGAGGAGGACGAAGACGATCCGGTGGATAATGACGGGCACATTGCCGCCCCCACGCCCAACAAAAGCTGGGCCGAGAACAAGCAAGTGGTGCAAGAGATACGCAAGAAGATGTGCAACCTGTCCTCCATGGTGCCCACCAATGTGCAGTTCCGACACTTGTCAGATGGACGTGCCAGGTGCTACTTCCTCGGCACTCCACCACAAAGCTGGGAGACTACGCTGCTCTTTGCCGACATAAACCTAACGCAGTCGGAAGGGCAGCAGTTATTAGTTCAGCGACTGGAGGGGATTGCTTCCGATGAGTGGAGTCCCACTTTGAATGCAGGATCCCCCACGAGCAGCGGCCAGCAACCGGCCTTTCTTTTCAATTCCCTGCCCAGGCCTAGGTAAGCTTAAAATCGTTGCAGTCAACTTCGAAAACTAATGAGGTATTTTTCAACTTTTATAGACTCCCATGGAGTCCATTACTGCAGCAGCCAATTCAAAGTAGTGGAGGCGGCGGAGGCAGTGGATCGGCCAGTCCCTATGCCCGGGAGTTTCAACTACTACAGGAGCGGAAACGCCTCTCAGCCTGGGGCATTACCTCCTACGAGTTGCACAAGCCCTCGGGCAAACTGGTTTTTCCCTGCTTCAACGACCTATACCAATGTCTGGACACAGGATACAATGTAAGCAATTCATAGAATTCCTTTCCTCTACCACTTAAACTCATTGCTTAATTTTCTATCTACAGTCTGGACTGTTATTTCCCACACAGCTACGCACCTGCCCGCAATGGACGGCTGTGGATCCGCAGATTTGTCCGCAGAACTCCGACATGATAGCCTACATCTGTGGCTGCGACCTGTTCGTCACTCACACGCTGAGCGGGCACGAAAAGCGTCTCACTTACACGTCCACCGGGCGGCATTCGTATGTGGACGATGCATTGAGTGCCGGTGTGCCCTCCTACGTGATGCAGGAGGAGTTTAGCCGCTACCAAGGCTTTTGGTGGCAGCCACATTCCAATGACGGTATTTACCGCATTGTCTACGAGGAGGTGGATGAGTCTGAGGTCTCCGTGTACACGTTTCCATCATCGACGGCCGTGCACGGCAGGGTAGACGAGTACCGCTTTCCCCGCACCGGTAGCCCGAACGCCAAGTCTAAGCTCAAGCTGGTTCAGTTCGTACTGAACGAGGCACTGCAGGTCAGCGAAATTGCCATCAAGGATTTGCCCTACTCCCTGTTGGCTGTTTTCAGCTGGTTAGAATACATTGTGCGTGTCGGCTGGACACCGGATGCTAAATAGTAAGTATGATCTTCGATGTGAAACATTTTATAGCCAAATCTTTGGAAAATCTAATCTAACAATGAAAAAAGATCTTTGGCCATTATGGAACTTGCCAGAAGTTAATGTATAATTAACTATGCACTTTTTTCACTTGCCAGCGTATGGGTGCAGGGATTGGATCGGAAGCAGCAGCGGCTGGATGTAATCCTTATTCCACTGGATAATTTCTGCGAGTCCTACAGCAGTCAAGTTTCAACGCCGACCGACTCAATAGGCGACCACAGCTGGCGCAGTCTGTACAGTCGCACAATCACACAACTGCAGGTTATATACACGGAACGCTCGGACAGCTGGATTAATGTACATGATATGCTTCACTTCCTGGATCTGACGGATACAAGCGTCACCTTCCTGTGGGCATCTGAAGAGACTGGTTTCCGCCACCTTTATTTGGTGACCGCCAGCCTGCTGTTGAGCCAAGCCAACGGACAGCCAGATCCTGGATCCGCCGGTGCGCAGCCGAGTTTCGTGGAACAATCGGCACTGCAACCGCGCATCCTCAACAAGGTGGCCTTGACCAGCGGTGAGTGGGAGGTGCTGGCCAGGAACCTCTGGGTGGACAAAGCCAACAAGTTGGTGTACTTTGTGGGACTTCGAGATACGCCGCTGGAAAAACACCTCTACGTTGTAAGCCTGGAGCGACCCGAACACATTCGCCTGCTCACGGAGCCAGGTTACTCCTACCTCGTGGAATTCGATGATGTACGTATGAGCAAAGTCATCTAGCTTAAGTAAAGTGCTTTTATAGATCCTCTAAATGTAGCTCTTGTAAAAATGCTACAAATTTAATATTGTGCCCAAATAAGTATGCTACATTTTATATCACGGCTGAATGCTAACGATCTTTTCTCTTATTTCCCACAGCAATGCCAGTTGATGCTGCTCGTTTACTGCAACATCCAGCGACTGCCCAGTTGCAAGGTGATGCGCGTTAACCAGACATGCTCGAACGGTGGAGTCAACGGCATTCAGATTTCACTTGTTGGCTATCTCCACGAAGGCGGAAAGCCGGAGCCGCAGTACTGTCCGCAAATTTTTTCTCCGCAGCTACCGTCGGGAGATATCGTGTATGCCATGGTTTTTAAGCCGCACAATTTTGAGTTGGGTGTCAAGTATCCCACGGTGCTCAATGTTTACGGAGGACCCGAGGTGCAGACAGTGAACAACACATTTAAGGTGGGTTCGATTACAGGCTGTAACCAACATTTGGAGCTCTTTGGCTAATCTTGATGTACTTCTGTGAATTCTTAGGGCAAACATCAATTGCGGATGCATATGCTGGCCGCCCAGGGATATTGCGTCATCTGCATCGACTCTCGAGGTTCGCGGCATCGAGGCAAGCGATTCGAAAGTCACATTCGTGGTCGGATGGGTCAGGTGGAGCTGACGGATCAGGTGGACGCGCTGCGCAGCTTGTCCGACCAGCTGGGCTACATTGACATGGATCGCGTGGCCATTCACGGGTGGTCATACGGTATGTTATCTCAAGATAGTTGACTTTTAAGGTGATTGTGTTATACTGGAGTAGTTCCCACTACGCTGCATACAATTTAATCTAATCAACAAGCAAGTCATTCTGAACTTACAAATATATATACAGAATGATGATATGGTTAATTTAAATTAAGGAAACTTCGTCAGGGCATTACAACTAATTTCCATATGGTTGTCATTTCCGCAGGTGGCTATCTAAGCCTGATGGGCCTCGTTCAGTATCCGAAAATCTTCAAAGTGGCCATTGCCGGAGCGCCGGTCACCAACTGGGAGTATTACGACACGGGCTACACGGAGCGTTACATGGATATGCCACAAAATAACGAGGCCGGTTACTCTGCCGGTTCGGTGCTGGAATACGTAAACTCTTTTCCCGAAGAGTGAGTACTAGTCTGGTTCTTTACTTGTCAAACTCCCAAAACATTCATGTTCTCTTTCATTCAGGGACAAGCGCCTGTTGCTCATTCACGGCCTGATCGACGAGAACGTGCACTTCTGCCATACCTCGCGGCTGATCAGTGCTTTGAACAAGGCCAACAAGCCGTACGAGGTGCATCTGTTCCCCGAGGAGCGGCATTCGTTGCGTAACCTGGAATCGAATAAAAACTACGAAACAAAATTACTGTCATTCTTGCAAAACTTATGAGATTCGTAAATGCCGACGGCCCAAACAAGATCGCCTGCTCAGGCATCACAACTAGCCCCGCCCCACGCCCTCGCCCCTTCGCAATAGTTTTTTACATCATTGTCTTTGTTTTTATTTAACTTTTTGTTGTTCGAACGATTGTTTTTATTAGATAAAGAAAATGAGAGCAAACGAAATTTGTATCATATTTTTAGCATACTTAAGTTATAAACGTACGCAGTTGTAAGTATAATGAAAAGTTGAATGAATGAAAGTTTACCCAACCACCTGCCTCTTCCCACATTAGACTCCAGATCAAGACCAAGCAGCTTACTGTAATTAATTTATACTTAGTGTTCTACCCCACACGTCATACTCTTAATTATGTTGTAATTGTGTTCTATATCCGCAAATGTAAATTTATCCTATCAATAATTATAAGTTGTGTTTTAGTGCGTATGTACGATGTGTGACTGTCTGCGTAAGTGTTTCCCACAAAAGCGGAAGAAAAAAAACCTTAAACTTGTCATGCCTTTGGGGCAGGCCATCAATTAATGTTAGTTCTACGCATGCATATAAAGATATATCTATTCAATAAACCTGTAGCAAGTCGTATGCATACTTGATTGAGTTTTTAGAAAAACCACGTTTGGCTAAATCAACAAAAACTGAATTAAATTTAATATTAATTATGCCTATATATAATCATTAGTTTAACAACTTATACATGCAAACGTATATATACATATATTTTGTTTAACATTTAAATAAAAAGTTGTGTGTAAAAACAGGTGTGCTACTTTTTTCTCTTGTTTTGATTGATGGATATTATTGAGCAGGGGGGGGATAAACACTATTCAAGTAATGCTAACGTTAAAAATAATTTTAAAACTATATTTAAGCTAATACTGAGAGTAGCTCATACACAAAATACAGGATTACTTTGTTCATTTCAAAGATAGGCTGAGTATAAAACACATTTAAACGAACCGCCCTTTGGAACGCCTAAATAGTTCATCTCACATATTTTGAACTGCAGAAATTTGAATTGGCCGCGCTACGGAACTACGGACTACCCACAATGCCTGCCTTCACCACAGAGGTGTAATCGAGGCGATTTCCGTTAGGCAACCAAACGCCGCGCAACGGTCACACTGCACCCCGCAGTTGCATCTGGCATCTGGCGGTGTTTTTTTGATTTTTTCTCAGTGCTCTCTATCCCTCCGGCCAAGCGCCATAACTCCACAAAACTCGAGCCGGAATTGAATTGTGAGTTTGTGTGTGACTAGGCTTGATCGAATCGAATCGGCAGTAGCTAACGAATCAAGTTGTAGCCAGCACACCACAGACCACATCCAGCAAGGAATCCGCTAGCGAGGATCGTGCTGAAACCAAGTGGAAGTGGAGGAGACGAGGACTCCAGACGCCGCTCACAATAACAAAAACAACAAACGACGAGTGCGCTCACACGCAAACAGGCATTCAAAATGGCGCCCACAAAAGCAACAACGCGCGCAGCCATCGCAGGCGGGCATCATCAGCTGCAGCAGGCAGGGAATCCCATCCTGGGAGCCCTGGGAGCTGCCACCAGGAAGGGCCTGAGTCGCAGGGCGGCCGCTACGGGGAACATCGATCCGAATGCCGAGAATATGCAGACGCGCGCCAAACGCAAGGCCGACCACAGTCCCATCAAAAATGACAAAATCAAGCGCTCGGCGCTGGGTAACCTAACGAACAATGTTAAGATCATGACACTGCATCCGGGTCAGGATGAGGAGCAGTCGGGCGTGGGTAAAAAGCCAACGGCCCAGCAACTGCAGGCCCTGCTCGATGCTAAGAAACAGGAGAATCTCAGTGTAAATGTCTTTGCCGCCAGCAAGATGACCACGCGCGCCTCCAGCAAAGTGGATGACTCGGTGGAGAACTGTCACAAGGTGCTCGATAAGCTGGAAGAGGCGTTGGCCAGGCCCAAGCCGCGTCCCAAGGCAGTTCCCGCCGCAAAGAAGACAGTTTTGGGGGAGATTCAGTTGCCGGCCATGCCAAATCCTATGCAGATTCCCGTTCTGCTGCCGCCTACGCACAATCTGGCTGCTCCCCAGGTTGCCGCCGTTAAGCCAGTTCGCCGGATCTCTAATGACTTTAACAAGACTGAGGACAGCCTGTATATGTCCGCGCTGGAGGATGTCTCCAGTTGCGATTCCATGCGGCTGTCTGGAAACTTTGAAGCAGCGCGTCGTCGCTCTGCCAAGTTGCAGCAAAAGACTGAGCAGCAGCAACAGTCGCTGTTGCTGACACTCCCAGAGACTGCTCCTAGCCAGGTGGTGCCCATTTTGCCAGTGCCCGAGGATGTGGAGGACTTCGACCGCAAGAACTGGGACGATCCCTTCCAGGTGTCCCACTACGCTATGGATATATTCAACTACCTCAAGGTGCGCGAACCGGAATTCCCCATTTCCGACTACATGCCCAGGCAGATCCATTTGACCCCCTGGATGCGCACCCTTTTGGTCGACTGGATGGTGGAGTTGCAGGAAACGTTCGAGCTGAACCATGAGACTCTGTACCTGGCGGTGAAGATCGTTGATCTGTATCTCTGCCGTGAGGTGATCAACAAAGAGAAGCTGCAACTCCTGGGCGCCGCTGCCTTCTTTATTGCCTGCAAGTACGACGAGCGACAGCCGCCGCTGATCGAGGACTTTTTGTATATCTGCGATGGGGCCTACAATCACGACGAGCTGGTGCAGATGGAGCGGGAGACGCTGCGCGTTATCAAGTACGATCTGGGCATCCCGCTCTCGTACCGTTTCCTGCGCCGCTATGCCCGTTGCGCCAAGGTGCCCATGCCCACGCTTACCCTGGCCCGTTACATCCTGGAGTTGTCGCTCATGGACTACGCCACCATTTCGTTCAGCGACTCGCAGATGGCTTCCGCCGCATTGTTCATGGCTCTCCGCATGCACGGCGGTCCGGGGCAGCTGGACAAGCAGACTTGGGGCTCAACGCTCACCTACTACACCGGCTACCAGCTGGCGGACTTTTGTGACATTGTGCCCGTGCTCAATGCAGGACTGCATCGCAAGCCACGGGCAACCATCAAGACGATACGGAACAAGTACTCGCACAAGATATTCCACGAGGTGGCCAAGGTGCCGCTGCTGACGAACCAGGAGCTCTTCCAGGGCAACCTCGACCTGAACGAAAGCAATCTGTCGTAGGACAGCCTCAAAGTTTAGCCAAATTCAACATGTTACGCTTCACTTAGGCTCTAAGACGCTTCTGTTCCCGTATTAACCCTAACCTGTTCCCGACGAAACAGCGGATCCCCGCCTTAATCGAAAAACCAGACCCTGATTTTACCCTATACCTAGTCCCGAGTTCCCGCCAAGTCCTCACAATTTATTATATTTTAATTATTATTGTGACCTTTGCATTATTGACATGTTTTTGCATAAATATTATGTTAAGAGTGCTTTTGTTTCTTTTGTCATGTATTATTGTTTAGTTTTCCACATGCCGCATACGTAGCCACACACACACACCCCCATCAATCTAAGCTGAAAATTCGACTTTATCTCTAGCACCCACCACAAACCCAAAAACGATTCATGTTTTAATATGTACGTTAGTCTTAAGAGATGCCAGCATTAAATAAACCTAACTCGTAAGCCACCAAAGCAGACACGGATCGCCAGTAACTTATTCAACACAGATACACAAACGCAAGGATACGAAGCGACTAGCAAAGGCACGTGTGTCCTGTACAACCTGGAAATGCGCCGCGATCAACCCTCGTTCATGTACGCCATGTGCATCTGTTCCTGTAGTCGTTATTAATGCTGTTATGTGTTAAGTCGTTCATGGACTCCCCTCCTCGCATCCTCGCTCACATCCCCGCCCCTCAAAGGACGCTCACCATCCAATTCCAATTCCCAGTTCCTGCCCGCCCCGCCCTGCCTGAACTCACCTAGTCCACCCATGGATGTTGATAACGTTGCATTGTTCAAGTAACTAGTTATGTATGAACTCAGTGTTATGTATGTATCGTTTTGCCAGAGAATACCAATAAACATTTTTACGTCCGTTCAAAAATAATTGTGTCCTTTGCATCGGAACAGGTGTTCCAATATCTGCGATGGAGCCTTCAATCACGACGAGCTCGTGCGGATGGAGCGGGAAACCCTGGCCCATTACATCCTGGAATTGTCGCGCATGGATGGTGGTGGCGTACACTTCGAGTTGCTAAGACATCTGCGTACTTAATTTATTTTATATTTACCCAATAAATATTCTTTTTTTGAGCACAATACAAACGAATCGTTAGACGATCATTTTTTATCAATGTATACATATAATATATGCCAACACTCTTCCACTAATTTGAATTAGTGGTGGTTACCTTATACACTATAAGGAACACCTCTATTCGGGTAATTCTTCCCATTCGTTTTCTTCCCATGGCAGATAGTGAAAACTGTTGTCGGTGCCTTCCTCGGGGGCGATATTTAGTTTGCTAGGGTCGAATCCCGATGAGGGCTCCGTGGTTTGGTTAACAATATATCCAAGCAGATGCAGGATAATGATCCCGAAAGTAGCGGCAGAAAAGACGTACATTCTGAGCGACAGTCCAAATGATTCTGAGCAAAATATATTTTTTCGGCAAGTAGTAATATTTTTGGCACAAGTAAGCCAACGAGAGAATATTACTGCACTAAAGTTAATTCTCTGTCAAAGGAATTTGTGACATAATTTAAATTGTACAATTGTTGTTCTATTTGTATTTCTCAATCTGATTCTGATTATATTCTGAATCATCTGCTTCAACTTATTGTTATGAAGCAGTTGAGAATTTCAAATGTAATGAGCAAATGCCCTAAAAATAGAGAATAATTAACCTTTGAAAAAACTTGTTTTTTTTTTACAAGTTGTATGTACATTGATCCAAGTTGTATGTACATATACTTAAATTAGCATTAAACTTATATGGTCGTTAGATATTCTTTATTAAAATGAATATTGAAAATGTAACTTTTAAGAGAGTACTATTTTAAAGCCGAAATTATTAATTATATGGGATTAAGTAATGTGGGCCTTATTTTCAATTTCCTTGAATCTGGAATGTATACTCGTATATTGCACTGCAACCTTTAATTGCTGGAAAACAGAACATAAACTCTGAGATGTCAAAGGTTAAGGGTAAACCTAGTGAGCATACCCATTACCCCACCCATTTCCATTCCTTTGTTTCGAATCCTCTCAGCTGAATCTGTGCTCCTTTCCTCACGCTCATCATGGAACAGCTGATGGCGGATGGCTGATGACCTAAGGACTAAGGACATCAAACCCTGCCTGGAATCGGTTCGATTTGCTACAGGTAAAACACACCGATACCGTCCGCCCAAATCATTCATAATCTATGAGTGTGAGTGTCTGTCTCTATCATCTGTATAGTCTGTATACCCCTGGTATGGGTTTCTCGAGTTTCCTGCGGTTCCTTGCTTTTGGCGCGCTCGTCCGTCATTTTAGCGCCAAAAATTTGTTAAGGATTTGTGCGGCAGGCTGCGCATGCGCCGCAAGACATCAAGACGTCGTCCCTTGGATGGGTTCCCTTCCCTCGGCCCTCTCTTTTCCGCCCAGGCAGCACATCGCTGCACAGCGAAACCCAGCCGATTTGTGTCGCTGCAGTTGGGCCTCCGATAGGTACCAGTACCAGTACCAGTACCAGTACGAGTACCAGTCTCCCTCTGACGCTGATTTCCTACCACCACCTTTGGCTCGCCCAGAGTCCTGCCCTTGTGCGTTCCCTTTTTTTCAGGCAGCGTTTTCGGCTGCCTGCCAGCCAGGTAGCTCCTGTCGCCTTCAATTGTGTTGTCGCCGGATAATAGAATCGGCATCGGAATAAGAATAAGGATGGGATGTGTATGCCTTGGGTTATCTGTCTGTATGGGAGCGGAATGCCGAGTGCATGTGCTTTATTTTTTTCCGGTTCAAGGTGCAACTGGTAACTGGCCAGCATTGCTAATTATCTTGGTTGGGTGTGCAGAAATCAAGTTTATTTCGCAGGGACACACAGGATGGTGGGTAAAGACAGCTGCCTTTGGCCAAGGAGGCAGCAGCCAACTTATGACTACGACTCCGATTACTTCACGCCCAACCAACACCACCACCACCACCATCACCATCACCACCATTACCGCGGTCCACCCATAATCCCGGCCAGCTTCAGAAGGTCGGCGAGTTGTAGGCGCCGTTGTAGCCGCCCCCATATCCACTGCCATAGCCAAAGGCATTGTGGTTGTTCAGCACTCCGAATGATCCCTTGTGAACGCCATCCTCCTTGTACTCGGTATTCATCGCGAAATGATGGTCCCAATGGCTTGGATCAGCGGGATTGTGAGCCGGATAGTGATGTACGTTCTTGCCGCTGGTGGCAGGACCCTGAGCAGCTGCTCCGGGGACTCCTCCAATTCCAGGTGCTCCCGGAACTCCGGCTACACCTTGAACTCCAGGCACGCCAGCTACACCAGGAACTCCGGGCTGGGCCACCGCTCCGGGTACCACTCCATAGGCGGGGAGCTGGGCTGGCTGCGGGTATCCTGGGTACTGTTGCAAGTATACTCCTGGGTAGGGATAGCTGGGATAGGCACCAGTTCCCGGGAAGTAACCAGGTGCTCCTGCACCCGCTGGTTGCTGGAGAGGAACTCCCACAGGATACTGCGCAGGAACTGCTCCCGCAACTGGATAGCCAGGAGGAGAACCAGCAGCTGAAGAGAGAGAGGAAATGTTATTAATATAGGTCACTATAATTTCAAATAGGTATTATAATTTCGATTTGCTATTCACCAATCTTTCCAATTTTGTAGAACTTTTTTGTGAGTTAAGACCTGATTTCACTTAGATAAAGGGACAATACTCGTATAGCATTTACTGCTTTGTAAAAAGTCTCACCTGCACTTTGGTAACCACCGGATGATGCTCCTCCTGCTCCTCCTACTGCAGCTGGGTATGGAACTGGAGCCTGTTGTCCAGGAAAGCCCGGAGGCGGATAAGCGGGAAACTGTTGACCTCCTGCAATGGTGAGCGCCGGATTGGGTGACTGGTTTCCAGGAAAAACTACAGAGTTCGTACTGGCCACTCGTGCGCCAGAGCCACCCTGCTCATGGCCGTGGGCATCATCGATGGATCCAGTGGCGCCCGCGTAGCCCGATCCCGAATAGCCCGCTCCCGCATAGCCCGATCCCGCGTAGCCCGATCCCACTTGAGCAAGACCCGGATACAGTTGCGAGTTGAGATTGGCCCGCTGGCGGTGCCGACTGCTGGTGATGCCTCCCGTCAGAGTGGAGGCCAGGTTGAACTCCGTCTTCTGATCCTCCTGACTCTCGTCCCTGCTGAACTGCGAGGCCTGACCGCTGGCAATCTGGATGAGGGCCAGAGCGGCGAATGCGACGACCCTCCTTCTAAACATGGCGTCTTTCGGTATACTAAGGCCCAGAAGCTCACGGCGCGTGTATTTCATGGTGAGCTCGGATGACACGAGAGCTTAGCTGAGTGTCTATTTTTGGGGTTATCATCAGGGGCTCAATGCCCAGATAGGTAGTTTAAGTCTCATTGAGTGTTCTTTCTAGTAAATTGAATGAGAAGCTCTACACTGAAAACATTAAGTCAAAGATGTAAAACAAAATTAGTGTATGCTGAGATACAATGCATATGGCTTCGCACACATATTAAAACATTAAAGAATTTTCCTTAAATAGCGATAAGAAAACTATGAAATATTATAAATTATATGTATACATTTCTTCCAGTGCTTTGTGGCCCAAAGCCAAGTGAAAGATAAGTAAAGACGCATTTCAAAGTAAGGGTTTTCCCAAGCCGTTGCATTGTTCAAGTAACTAGTTATGTATGAACTCAGTGTTATGTATGTATCGTTTTGCCAGAGAATACCAATAAACATTTTTACGTCCGTTCAAAAATAATTGTGTCCTTTGCATCGGAACAGGTGTTCCAATATCTGCGATGGAGCCTTCAATCACGACGAGCTCGTGCGGATGGAGCGGGAAACCCTGGCCCATTACATCCTGGAATTGTCGCGCATGGATGGTGGTGGCGTACACTTCGAGTTGCTAAGACATCTGCGTACTTAATTTATTTTATATTTACCCAATAAATATACTTTTTTTGAGCACAATACAAACGAATCGTTAGACGATCATTTTTTATCAATGTATACATATAATATATGCCAACACTCTTCCACTAATTTGAATTAGTGGTGGTTACCTTATACACTATAAGGAACACCTCTATTCGGTTAATTCTTCCCATTCGTTTTCTTCCCATGGCAGTTTGTGAAAACTGAGTGGTCCACCTGCTCTCAGAACTCCGGCTTGAACTCCAGGCACGCCAGCTACACCAGGAACTCCGGGCTGGGCCACCGCTCCGGGTACCACTAAATAGGCGGGGAGCTGGGCTGGCTGCGGGTATCCCGGGTACTGTTGCAAGTATACTCCTGGGTAGGGATAGCTGGGATAGGCACCAGTTCCCGGGAAGTAACCAGGTACTCCTGCACACGCGTAGCCCGATCCCACCTGAGCAAGGCCCGGATACAGTTGCGAGTTGAGATTGGCCCGCTGGCGGTGCCGACTGCTGGTGATGCCTCCCGTCAGAGTGGAGGCCAGGTTGAACTGCGAGGCCTGACCGCTGGCAATCTGGATGAGGGCCAGAGCGGCGAATGCGACGACCCTCCTTCTAAACATGGCGTCTTTCGGTATACTAAGGCCCAGAAGCTCACGGCGCGTGTATTTCATGGTGAGCTCGGATGACACGAGAGCTTAGCTGAGTGTCTATTTTTGGGGTTATCATCAGGGGCTCAATGCCCAGATAGGTAGTTTAAGTCTTTAACATTAAGTCAAAGATGTAAAACAAAATTAGTGTATGCTGAGATACAATGCATATGGCTTCGCACACATATTAAAACATTAAAGAATTTTCTTTAAATAGCGATAAGAAAACTATGAAAAGTTATAAATGATATGTATACATTTCTTCCAGTGCTTTGTGGCCCAAAGCTAAGTGAAAGATAAGTAAAGACGCATTTCAAAGTAAGGGTTTTCCCAAGCCATTCAAAATTGCTTAGCACTGTAGCATAGATGATGATTATGAGTTATGATACTCCCTTTATATAGAGAACGAAAGCTCTCACAGACAACCTTGTTTACCAGTTCAATAGATTAGTATTATATACAGTACATATAGCATTTGTTCCATTACCCAAGGTTCTTCCACCCGATTCCATTCATGTTTCTTATCGCCTATGTGCTGCTGGCTATAAAAGCTGCCAAGAAAATGGCAAAAACAGCAAAATTGATTTACTTATCCCAAGATGCAGTTGTTAGCTGCGATTCTAGTGCTAATCCTGGCCAGCTTGGCCCACGGTAGACCCACTTTGGATACGATTGCAGAGCTTCTGTTGGGCTCCAAGTATTATCCATCAGTTGGTCCAGAACCGCATCCTGGTCCCGGTCCACTCATCCACGAGGGCTACGAGCAGGGCTACGACTATCACTATGGAGGCGGCTATGGCTACGGCGGCATCCAGCAGCCGCATCCAGCTGGCTATGGATACTACCCACCACGTCCTGCGCCACCGGCAAATGCCTACTATCCACCACATCAGCCAGTTCCTCCTTCGCCTGGCTACTACTCACAGCCGGCTCATCCTGCCACTGCCTATTATCCGCACAAAAATCGGGATATTTATGGAGGTGGAGGTGGAGGTGGCTACAAGCAGCGGGGTTACTAGTGTTCATCCGTCAGACGCCTCCCCCAGATCCCATCCAATCATCTGCTGTCTCATTTGTTTATGTGTAATTTATTAAAATTTCGTTAATTTCCATCAACGAGCTTTTAGAACCTGTTTTGAACTTTCGATAGAGACGATCTCGAGTGAAGCAATTGAACAATGGTCTACGAATATGTACAACAAGTGTGGATCCGGGAACTCCCTCTTAGAAGATTCGTCTTCATCTCACATCAATGGGTACCGAGGGAGCCTCCTGGTTGGGCACATGGATAAATTTGCTGGAGCTGGGGAATATAATGGCACGATTTTCGGAGGACTCGTCTAGGGGCTTCGGCAATGGCTCAGGCACGATCCAAGTTGGAAAAGTGGGCGTGGGTGGCTCCGGATTGTGGGGCGGCACCAGCGGCGGCCGATTGGTGCCTATAATTAAGGTGTCCTTTGTTGGCTGAGCTGTTGGACGTGGCTGGATCGTGGGAAACGTTGCCGCTGGTGTAGGTGTTGTGGCTGGAAAGGAGGCTCCTGGTACTGGCGGTTGGGGAGTGGGGTTAGGCTCACTGTTTGGATTCAAATTAGTGTTGGCATCATTGGGATTCGGCTGATCGGGCAAGCGTGGATAGTTTTCCCATTCCTGTTCCATCCCTCCATTCCATTCTGGCCTTGGTTGTGGTGGTCCTCCGCCATTCCATCCTGGTCTTGATGGCGGTGGTCCGCCTCCATTCCAGTCTGGTCGCGCTGGTCCTCCTCTATTCCAGCCTGGATTTGGTGGAGGTCCTCTTCCACCTCCTCTGTTCCAGCCCGAACTTGGTGGAGGCCCTCTCCCACCTCCTCCGTTCCAGCCTGGACCTGTGCCACCCCCACCGTTCCACTCATGCCCTTGCCCTCTCCCTCCATTCCAGCCTGGTCCGGGTCCGAATCCCGCTTGATCCCAGCCAAATCCGGGTTGGTTCTGGTTTCCACCGGCTCCCCACTGCCAGCCTGCTGGCCATCCAGGAGGCGTCTGTTGCTGAAGGTTTGGTGGTGCAAATCCTGGTCTGGGCATTCCTCTCCGATTCGGACCCGGACCCGGACCCATGCCCGGCCAGCCCTGCTGCTGTCTTTCGAACTGCTGCTGCTGATTAAAGCGGTTATTGTGCATGGCATTGATCAGTCCATTGATCACTTCAAATCCGGGCAGCTGGGCCACCACGGTGACGCCACCGGCGGAGGCAACAGCTCCTGCGGGGGAGGACGATGACATGGCAAACTGCGCGAGACACGTGCGTATCCAGATGGATGAAAAAATGCAGACGACCCAAGCCTGGCCAGCACACCAAGCTGGCGAAGATCGCGTCATGATCGTGTGGTCGAGCAGTGATCACCGCGAAAGGCGGACTCTAACTGAGTGGGAACTTTTTCGCTCCGCCTGTGCGATAATCGTTGATGCTCGATTAAGCATTGGAAACCTGTCCGGCGATCAGCGATCAGCGAGAGAACGATGAGGATGAGTGGCCACAGATAGACAAAGGGATCTGTACCGCTCTCTAAAATAGGTCTCAGAGAGATCATCATAATGACATTCATACGCAAAGTAAACAAACACCTGGGGCTTAAGCGTTCGAAACAAAAGTTGAGATACGTGTTATACAGATTGCAGTACAAAAGAATAAGAGATACTGGCGATGAAAGCTCCTTAAGTGATGAATAGAGGGGAAATGAGCTTATCTTTGAGTTGGCTGATATGTTAGTAGCTACAAGTACATACAAGTATACAACACGTTTAGTCTAGCCCTTACAGATCTATGCAAGAAAAATATTTTAGGTTGAGATTAAATAGAATACTAATTTGAAGTACACTTATACGATCTCAGTAGTGTGGAAGTATGTGAATATGTATAATGGATGGGGATGGGATGGCCGTAGTATACTGACCATCTACCATCTGCGATAGCTCAGTCTTCCAGTGGATGACGCGTGCTCCGCATGCTGATCGTGCCAATCCGAGTGCTATAATAAATCCAGCATAATGCATTGAGTCGTCGCCGCTTGCCGTTGGCCAAGCTAATCTTCCAGAGATCCCGACTGTGTTTATGGGAATAAGAAGTCGTAAAAAAGGCATTGAAATGAGCTAGACCACAATGTGTCACCATCACAAGGGTATAAATAGAGGGAACTGCGTAGATGGACTGTCCAGTTCTGACAGTGATTCGAGATCGAAGCAAGATGAGTGCCCGCTGTACCCTGTTGTCCATCCTAGCTTTGGTGAGTGCCTGCTGCCTGGATTCGAGTGGCGCTCTCTTCTTCAAGTCCTGGAGGTCGGGAAAAGGATATAGTGGTCATAGTGGAGTACAAAACTATGGCAGCGCAGGCTATGGAAACTACGGCAATGGCAACTATGCTGGAGGATATGGCTATAACTACCCCTCCTATCCTGCATACAATTCGTACACTTACCCAACCTACTCAGGCCACTCCTCTTACTCTCACCCCAAGGGAGGACGCAAGCCTTCCGGACACCGCCAAGGACGCACTTACTCGCAAATAGCGAGAGTTATAAACCCCGCTCCATACGTCGGTCCTGGAGGCAGTCGGTTCCTGCCCCGTACGCCCTTTTCGCCCCTTTGGGGCTGACGACTTGCCCATCTGAACTCACATGGTTGCCAGCAGTATTAACCATTAAAATAAAATCAGCGAAAGTTACATCTAAACACAAGTTGTTAATTATCTGAAGCACTTTAAGCCCGCTACTGGTGCGTACGTGTATATTAGGCTACGATGAACTGATTTATGATCACTGGCCCGCATTTGCGGAGCAGTCGCGTCCAGTGGATCGCCGGTACGTGATGGTAATGGAAATGACATGGAGGCACGACATCTTTTCAGGGGAGACGCATGTGGGGATTGGGACAGTGGGGTAGTGGGGTAAGGTCCCCGACTGGGATCTCACAGCTAGGGATTTCTTCGGGGAATTCCTTACAATAGCTATTATGCACGGCAGAATATTCTGTGCGGTTATGGATTGCAAATATTTTAATAAGTGACTCTCGCTATGACTATGCTATTAAAAAATCCGCTTTCAGTAATTGTTGGCTTTTATTTTGTTACAAACGGGTAAAGTACTGAGTAAATTACCAAACATAAATGTAAGTTTATTAACATATGGTCTTGCATTGAATGTATAATAGTTTCCGTTGATTGCAGTTATTTGTCAACGCAACGAACGAATCATCGACTAAATTTCCCCAGATACATGTGTTTCCCAAACTGTAAAATCGGCCAGTGATTCACTCAATTGTTTTAATAGTTTTCTTATATATAAATTCGTGAGCATGCCGGAAGAAACTTAATGCCAAATCATTAAACTCTTCGATCCGATAATGACCCAAGTCATCTTGGACGTAACTGGACTTATCACGGCTCACTAGGTGGCCTACTCGTATATATTATATAGTTTTTACGATCCCAGCGAGGTACTTGCGCACGAGTAAACAAGTGAATCACGCCGAGATGCAGCTGGTCAGCTAGGACTTCCGCCCGGAGCACCGTTGAGCGTCATTGAGGAAGTGATACCAGGCACCAGATACCAGAAACCAGATCGCTGCCACCGTACAGGAAGGAAGACTTCGGTGCCCAAGTCAGTGGCAACTAATGCCGCCGAACATGGCAATTGTTTATGCAAGAATGTGCCAATACGTACATGGCGCACCTACGTCATTACTTCAATCCGCCAGAGTCGCTAATTACAACTTAAATACGTACGAGCACTTATGCTGAGACTGAGAGGCTGGGTCGGGTGGCATGGATACAGCCAAATCATTCACCGCGCAATTAGAGTCAAGATCAGGTGTGGGTTACTAGGAGACGGGTATGTGCCAACTCACTGCCATCGCTGATCGGATGGAGTAACGGGCTGCGGTGTGAATGACTTGGCGCGGAGCAGCGTGTCAGTAAATATTGAGAAAACAAAGTGATCACAAAATGCCAATTCGCACAAAGAGACGAGATCTACGTGAGCGGCAGCGCAATTCTCCAGGGGCTTCAGTCGGTTCCGAAAACCTGATTGATAAGCCAAGCGTCTGAGAACGGCAAGAACCGATCAGCCGGCGATATGCATATAAATAGACTGGTCACTGGCAGCACTTGCAGTTCAGTACTGGAAGCGGAGCACTCACACTCCTCACACACTAATCCTTGCAAGCCATGTCCGTCCGAGGAGTCATCCATTGCCTTATGGTCGCCCTGCTCCTCCTCCTGGTCGTCGTGTCCGGATCCCCGGCCCGTGGATACTATCAATCGCCGACGCGTGGCGGTCGCAGCTACAAGGACATCGCCAAAGTCGTCAATCCCAATCAGTACGCCTTTCCCGGATCCCGCATTTATCCTGCTCAACCCTTCTGGCCATCGGGATAGGGCTGGCATGGTTAACTTTATATTAAGAGACTGAAAAGACTTGATTAACTGCTGCTAAAGCAATTAGCTACACAATGAACTGTCACATCTTGTACCGGAAAATATTTAATAGGATTAAGCTGAAGCTTAGTAACATGAACAGTGTGGCAAAGACCATTCCAATGGAATGTTATGTTAATTAAAAATGTCATAAAACTCGAACTTTCTGTTTTCCTAAGGTGTTGAGCCTTTGCCCTTTAGTTATTAAGTTCCCCATAAACTAACCAGAATTACAACTGAGTTAATGAATGAAATGCATTAGCTGGTCACGCCCATTTCGTGCTACGTTGTTCATCAAAGGACACTTGTAAGCCTGACAAATGCACAATTACCGGTCAGAGTTCAACAAACAGCAGCTCGGAGAGGATTAGAGTAAAGGAAATACCTCAGGAATATGGTCAAGCTGGCAGCAACATCCAATGCCATTTGGTGGATCAAAAACCCCAAGGCAGCTGCGGAAAAGAAGGCCAAGGGTCAGCGTAGGGCGTCATTGGGCTCAGCCTTCTGCTTGGATATGGCTGATCTGGTTAGGAACATATCCCTCCAGGGCTACAATAAGCTATTGTCGCCAGACTTGACCTTGGGACAGAGGTGCGAAAGTTGTTCAACAATATTACTCATACGCAACGTGGCTTCATGGTCTTACGTGTATTTTAATAGATTGATTTGGTTGCTGGTACACATGGCCACCACCGTGTCCCTGATAGTGGTGCTCTCGCTAACCTGGGAGCAGTTTGTGGCCCAATCCTTTGTGACCAATCTGAAGGATCCTCTCTATCCAGTGGAGAGTGTCCCCTTCCCGGCTGTTTCCATTTGCCCCAACAATCGCATCTCTCGCCAGGCGGTCATCAGATACGCCGAAGAACTGTGAGGCACAAATATGTAAATTAATTATTAATGTACTTAAATTAAATGTAATACCTATTGTTAGGAGACTTAACAGTCCTGTTATTCGCCCTGTGGAATACTTTCTAGAGCGCTTAAGTTTCTTTCGCGAGTTCTACATCCACGTAGGCGTCGTCGTGGACACCGATGACTTCATTACCTTTCAGACCTTCCTCGACGTCTTCGGCACCTGGGACAATGAGACCTTCTTCGACACTCGTCGCATAATGAAGAAGGTAAGAGAACCATGGACCGAGAAGACATAAACCAAGCACTATTTTCCACAGTTGACCCCGCGTTGTCAAGAATTCGTGCTGAAGTGCACCGTAGCCAATGTGGAAGTCCCCTGCTTCAGCAAGGATGCCTTTCAGGATAGCCTCACTATGTACGGACCCTGCTGCACCTTCAACATGGAGAACAAGTAAGTGACAGCTGCCTGAAATAACAGTATTTAGCCAATCTTCACCAGACTGAAGAAGCGCCACTTCAAGAATCGCCTGGCCAGCCCGGAACTGGGTCTCAAGGTAGTCCTGAATGACAGCCACGCGGACTACTTTGCCCCCATCCTGAACACCAATGGATACATTGTCCTGATACACAATGCTGAGAACTATGCCTCGGTTTCCTCCTCAAATGTGCTGGAGATGTTTCCTGGCCAAGGCGAGGATAGCTACCTTTCGGTCTACGCTCGAGTGGTGGACACGGATGACAGCTTAAAATCTTTTTCGCCCTTCAATGTATGTTGCTCTACACATCTTTAGTTTCAAATTCTAGAACACCCTAACTATGAATTCTAAAGCGCCGCTGCTATTTCGAGTACGAGGCTCAGAATCCCGTCCATGAGCAGCTGATGAAGGCGTTCAGCTACAGCTACACCTTCCCGAATTGCATAACTAGGTGCCGGATCCGGAGTATCGTAGCTCTGTGCCGGTGCCTACCCTTCCAAATGCCGCTTCATCTGCTGGAGAACCTCGATGGCATCGTATACTGCACCTTGGGACACGTTGCCTGTCTCAATCAGTACATGTGTAAGCAAATCAGCGTCGGAGAAGGTTTCGTCCAAGACCTTCCATTTCAATCGTATTCTTTGCAGCTAAGTGGCAAAATGTCCTGACGGAAAGGCACATTATTGCTGGCTTGGAACGGGAAATCGAGGAGGCTCTCTACTGCCCACAATGTCTGCCCTCCTGCCGGGACGTCCAGTACGGCGTTTCAATGAGCGCCCTGCCCATCGATAACTACCTGGCCACCCTTAAGCTGGATGAGAACAACCAGACGGAGTTCAGCACAGACATCTCCGTTCTCAGGGTTTACTTCGGAGAGCCCCATGCCCAATACTACATCCGACTGCTGAATAACACGTGGTTCGAAGTGTTCAGTGGGTTGGCTCTATATTCGTTCCTCGGCATGTTGTATCGAATCGTTCCCATTCACAGGTACCATAGGCAACATCATGTCCATTTTCGTCGGTTTCTCCATGGTGGCCATATTCGAGGTACTCTTTTTTCTGACGAAGTACATCTATGAGGGCTGCAATCGCATGGTGGAGCAGAATATAATGGATCGGAAGGCCCAGGAGCTGGAGACAAAGAAATTGTACATATGTCCTTGAAGAATTTTTGGCATCCTAACCCGGCATCTCAGCACCTGAAATATACATGTCAAGACATTTTGTTTTATTTAGCGCGTCGTGTAGTATTGTAAATCTGTAAGTCTTATACATGTTCCTTGTGGCAAGAAGTGTTGCCCCAATTAACTCGGGGACAAGAAGTCATTTTGGATTCAATTACGATAAACAGGGGAGGGATTGGAAAGTAAAAAGCTGTCAAAGACAATCGCCTATTGCGCTGTGGTCATGTAATGTAAGCGATTCTATCTGATCCTGCTATTCCGATGCCATTATAAACTTCTCTTGTCCAAAGACCATTACATGTGATGTGCCCAAACTGAAGTTTGTGGATTACAATAAAAGCCTGTGTGATCCTTTGTCCGTGATCAACAATGGGCTAACCGTCCTCATGCGCATCCCCAGGACCGTCGACGGGAACCAGCCATCCCTGTGTATCAGTTCCGAAGGTCAACAGGTCTTCGAAGCCGCCCAGTTGCACTTCCATTGGGGCTCCGCACTGAGCATGGGATCGGAGCACAGCTTGGATGGGAACTATTACGATGGGGAGGTGCACATCGTGCACAAGAATGCCAGTTACCAAACCAACCAGGAGGCTGGTCTGCATTCCAATGGATTTGCGGTTTTGGCCTTGCTCATAAGGAACCTTGAGGTAGGAGGTGTAATCGCTTTACCTACACCATCGCCACTTATGTCCATTGAAGTATCCGAGTATCGAGACGCCAGCTATGAACATGATCTGCAAACAGGTCTCCAGCATTACTAAGTTGGATGATTCGTGTCCTCTGGAGGACAGTATGGCTATGCAAGATCTGTTTGTTAGCATAGACAGCCAAAAATATTTTACCTACCAAGGTGGGATGTCTCTGGCCTTTGGATATCCATATTTGTATATATGTTTTTAGGTTCGCTCACCACTCCTCCCTGTGCCGAGGCAGTCATCTGGTTTGTTTTCCAGACTCCTCTGGATGTACCCAAGGAGCTGGTGAGTGGCCCAAAAGAAAGAGGTTCTTTTTATCTTTCTAAAGATAAACACTAACAGTGGCAGAACTTTTGGCAACTGAGGGACTCCCGTGACCAGCGGGTTCTCAACACCTATCGGGAACTACAAGATGACCATGACCGACCAATTTATAGAAGTGCGGGAAAATGAGTGTTTAAGTTGAGTGCAAATGTAGTCATTTCCTATGTACGAGTATAGTATAGTCCACGTCATAGTGTGTTACAATTATTTTGAGTGTATTTGTTGTTTTATGCGAAAGCTTAACACAAGTGCTTGGATGGAAGCTTTTAGCCGGCCGCCAGCTGATGGCGCATCCACCCATTCCCAGCCCCAAGATCCGGAATTGCATTTTCTATCTGCGTAGCCAATTCAACTGGTGTCGTACAGATGTAATCCACGCCTAAATTGCTGCATAAAATCACAAAATGAAGCGCCTGACTGAGCGAGTGCATCACGAGGAGCAGGAGTCCGAGGAGGTGGTCTGGGTCAAGAGGGAGGACACACGCTGCGCCGGCAAGCTTCCCATCGTATTCTCCAGGAACTATGCGGTTCGCTTTGGTGGCCTTGAGCGCCTACATCCCTTCGATGCGGCCAAGGGCAAGCACATTCACAAGGTCCGTATGCATTCCCTGCTCTCCCGAACTGCAATATACCATTGAATGGACCACAGCTCCTCTGCTCCGAGCTGCAGCTCGACGACGGCAGCTTCTACGAGCCCACGGAACTGACCAAAGACCAGCTGCGTCGGATTCACACAAGGGATTACCTTAAGTCCCTGCGCTGGAGCATGAATGTGGCCTGCATCGCGGAAGTGCCGGTGATGGCCTTGTCCCGAATCGATACATTCAGCGGTCCTATTTGCGTCCCATGCGCTTCCAAGCAGCCGGTTCCATTTTGGCCGGTAGGCTGGCGTTGGATTATGGTTGGGCCATCAACCTGGGCGGTGGGTTCCATCACTGCTGCTCGTACAGAGGCGGTGGTTTCTGTCCGTATGCCGACATCTCGCTGCTCATCGTCAGGCTGTTCGAGCAGGAACCTTTCCGGGTGCGCCGCATCATGATTGTGGACCTGGATGCCCATCAGGGCAACGGGCACGAGCGGGACTTCAACAACGTGGCAGCCGTCTACATTCTGGATATGTACAATGCCTTTGTGTATCCGCGGGATCATGTGGCCAAGGAGAGTATCCGGTGTGCGGTGGAGCTGCGCAACCACACTGAGGATGCCTTCTACCTGCGACAACTCAAACGCTGCCTGATGCAGTCCCTGGCCGAGTTCCGTCCAGATGTGGTCATCTACAATGCGGGAACCGATGTCCTCGAGGGGGATCCATTGGGCAATCTGTCTATTTCCGCGGAGGGCGTCATGGAGCGGGATCGCTTGGTGTTCAGCACATTCCGCACTCTGGGAATTCCGGTGGTAATGCTGCTGAGTGGTGGCTACTTAAAGGCATCCGCAGGGGTAATTGCGGATTCCATTGTTAATCTTCGGCTTCAGGGATTGCTAAACTAGGAAATGCAAATTATTTAAGACGATAATACCAAGGTAGTGCCACACAAGCTAGTAAGAACTTCGTATACAAATGACTGTCTATTCTTACCATTCTGAACGTATTTCCACGATTTTTAGAGTATTGAAAATATCTTTACACTAGTACAAATAGACTACTTTGGCAGAGTGTATCCTACATCTGAGCCGGAGGACTTGCGAAAACGAGAGCTGTGAATGAAAGTGCATAATCTGATTGCTTCAAAATTACCTGGCTAGATAACAAGACGTCTCTTTACACCTTATCAAAATTTATTAAACATATATAATTTAAAGTCGTTATAATAGTTATTTGTCTTCTATGAAGTAATGATTTCAGATCATTAAGTTCAGTATCGCAATAGATGCAGAAGGTATAAATATCTCCAGGGAGTTATGAGTTATAGCAGTTTCTTGTCAATATTTGTACAGACATCTCTTCCTTGGCATTTTCAGAGGTTCAATTGGGTTTGTTAATCCTATGTACAATGCAAAAAGGGCCGGACAAGTGGAAAGAATTTTGTCGCAATTGGTTAAATGTCTATATATGATACAACGTAGTCGCTAGAAGCTAATTTACTTGTTTAAAATACAAAAATACATATAAATAAACGTTTGCTTAATGTTTTAAATAAGACGGGTTTGAATATCATTTTAGTGTCTTTGTTAAGTCTGTTTTTCGGTTTAGATTATATTCAGCAACCAATCATCTTCGGCACGTGCTCAGATATTATTGAAGATCTAACAGGCTGTCGGTCGCGGCGATCTAAAAGGGCACGCATAAATTAGAGAATTTAATCGATCGGTTTACAACTAACGTTTATGCATGCAGAAATCTATGGAATGAGCTGCTGAACGCGATGATTTCGTCGCTGTGGCAGTTGTGACATCAACCAAATAATCTAGAAACAATAAATTTCAAATAAATATTACATAGAAACAAAAAAATCTAATCTAGAGATGACATGGGTTTCCCAGTAATTGATGAGCAAATTGGCGATGTTAAAGTGGATGCATCTGAAGGGACTTACGCGGCATTGCTTGCCGGCAAATCCTCAAAGAGGACTTCCGATCGTGAGCTGATTATATACACCAAGCAGAAGGATATGATCAGCACCACTATGCCAACGCTAAGAGTTGTGACCTGGTGCACATTGGACGGGCGCAGGAAGATCCGTGCACTGAACTGTGACCAGGTGGATTCAGTCCATGTGGAATACATGCCCGAACTCCAATCGTAGCCTAATAAAAGTTTAAATGAAATCATTTTTACACAAGATAATGAAGGCATTCCTAGGCTTACCATCAATAAGAAAAGCTGGACTCAGGGCGTGGCTGTAGTTCTGCGTGGTGAGACGGCACTCTCCGATATTGTTGAAGCCGGCGAAATAGTGCAGCGGCAAGTCGGTGCAATTATCTCTAGGAATGTCTGGCTGCAGCTGAGACAGGAGATATCCCAGCATTCTATACGTATAGCCCGATGACTCTTGAGAGCCGCCCAAGACGCTAATATAGCTAGTGAAAAGAAGAGGGGGTAATACATAAATCCAAGCCAAGGCCTATTTACAGTGCACTTACCGCATCGGAGGTAAATTGGTTAGCTGACTGCCCGGATAAGATGCGGCCTTGAAAAGTGGGCAGTCCGCCGATTGCAGGAAACAGTAAAGGAACTCATCTGCCATCAGGGGGTTGGCCACCTTGGTGCCAGTATACTCCTTTCCAGTTAGTGTCTGATATAGTGCCATGGCCACAATAGAAGACACGTTGCGCACTTTCATTTGCAGTGAATCTGCCTTCAAGCTCTTAAAGTCATTAACTTCGGCCAGCTGGGTGAAGTCCTTGCTTGTGTTCGCATAGGTGAAGTCCACGTTGTCCGCATCATCGTAGATGGAATGATAATACTTGTTGGTTGGCCGAGCGTTTAGAATCAGAGCACGGAAGTTTGGATCACGTCGCAGAAACGATTGCGCCGACGTTGGTGGTAAGTGGGCGCTCATCTCAGACTGAATGTTCAGGTTAAAGCCATAGCGTGGTGACTTCGCATAGTTGTTCAGCTGCTCTAGCATATTCTGAGCCAGAGGTGTTCCATTCAATGCATGCAGCTTAATATTCGATATGTCATCCAGTGTCCCGATGTCCAGCATGAAATCAATATTGTCAAAGGCAATTGGAGGCGTGCTTGTGGACTCAGTAGGGAATTGGAGTTTCTCCATGTCGTACACAAATCTCTGAGATCCAATGTAGTCATAGGATTCACCGTTAAAAGTCACAAAGAGCACATTACTAAGAGAATCGCGCAACAAACGTTGCGACGGAAGCAGTTGTTTTAAAAGATACGCCACCTGGGTAAAAACAGCGAATCCCATGAGGGAGTCCATGGCTCCAAGACCTGTTAATTGCAGACGTAAACAATAATGAAACAAGAAAGTTGTACAAATTCAAGTGCTTAAACTCACCCACTCCATCGAACATGGTGGTGGTGTCCAGGCGGCAAGATACTAGTATAAACTTTTCATTCGTATGGACTGTCTCCAAGTTGTTTTCCACTGCTGGTTTTCGGGGGTACAAGGTGGCGTACACATTCCGTCCCTCGAGCGGATCACAGTACTTGCTTCCCCCAAGATTATTGATGAAGTTGGTGCGGCGCATACAGACCTCGGTGTTGACAGCGGCTGACATAAAGGACTTGACCTCGACGGCGCACAAACTACGCAGAGCGTGCGTCTCGTAGTTATGGTTGTTGAAGTCTTGGAAACACTTCTCCAGCTTGTTAACCTGGTCCATATCGGCTATGTAGTAGATGGGAAAGGGAAAATCCTCGTGCAGCAGTCCAGTGCCCCAGGGATTCCAGTTTTTGGCTGGATTGCTGGCGTCGCAGGTTTCGCTGCTGCTGTTCAGGCCACTGTACTGATTGGGACAGTTGAGTTCATGCGAGAACTGCTTCATCTGGTTCGTGCGGTTGATCAGCAGCACCACGGAAATGTTCTTCGGTCCGGCTTCCTTCAGACGCATCAGGTTGCTGCGTGTGAACAGGTGAGGTGGTATCATGGGGGCGTATGGGGGCGATGGTGGACTGGTCAGTAGAAATTCCAGATCGGCCTCGACGTTTATCAGATGGAGTACGCCCACGGAACCGGAGTACGTTGCTGTTGATAACAAATTAGAGAGGATTTCTAGGGATATTCTTAATGGACTCACAGGAACAGCCTGTCTGATGGGTGCCATTAAGCCGCCGGAAGCAGCTAGCGCCTCCAATGGGCTCGTACATCTTATCGCGGGTTCTTTCTCCTTGAGCTGTGGACAAAGAAAGTTCGGGTTAGATGACTCAGGTTGTTGGCCCATATTGAAAAGTGGGCCTGTGAGTTTAGGACAAACTAGTCGCCGCTGAAAGCCCCACTACGTTGTCGTCCTGATCCTTACCAATAGTAGCTCCATACGACAGTATTAGCAGCCATATGGAAGCCGCATTCAGACGCATCTCCATCGAAGAATCCCACGAAATCGCGTCCAGAAATTGTAGTGATGCGTGTGACCGTTCCGGTTCGAAATACCATTAGGCCTGCAAGTACCGGTATATACTAGTTCAGTTTCATGAAATACCATGCATATAATATACCAAAAACCACTATTTTTAAATCGTCTATTAATTTAGATACTGTAAGAACTGGAAAATGTAAAAATATAAAATTGTTATATATCCATATCCATTACCAACATCCGAAATATATAATCAAAACCATTAGGCACTAATCCGTTTTTCAGCATACTTATTATTTACCTAAACATGGTTATTGCTACAAAACATGTAAAAACTAAGCATCTAGGGATCTAAAAGAGCGTGTCCTCGGCGCGAATGTACTCGCCGATGTCCGACTGATGGAAGCACACAGTGGTCATGGGATCGGCGGTCTTGCAGTCCGTAGTGGAACGCGCGAGGACGCCGAAGCCCAGTGGCAGATCGTTCATGGAGTAGACCACCACACCCTGGTACTGGCCGGCGTTCTCCGTGATGCGACCCAGTCCGGTTTTGGGGATGTGGTTGCCGTAGAGGAACTGCTGCTCGAAGGAGGGCTTCACCCACACCTTGTACTGGGCGTAGGGCGCCAAATAGTAGAGCGCCGTGATGTGGAACTTCAGCTTGTTGGTCTTGGAGAACTTGCCGAAGCACGTGCCCACGCACACCAGCTGCTTGTAGCCAAAGCACTCGCTCAGCTTCAGAATCCGCTCGGAGACGTAGTAGACCCGATCCTTGTGCTCCCGAAAGCAATATGTTCCATCTGGCCGGTCGATCAACTGCTTCACATTTGTGCCAATGCTGTAAATGCACTTGTTAGCTGCATTCCGCTGCGTACTTCTGGTTACTTACTATTTGGACAGGTGCTCGAACAGGATCTTGGCACGTTCGTCACTCAGGCGTTTCATTTTAACTTAAATTGTGCCGAAAAACGAGGAAAACAAACTGCTAAATCTTACACGTGAGAATGGTTTCAGTGTTGAGTAGGGGCCTCTTGCAGCACCAATATATCGCATCAGCAATGATCATTTTTATCGATAGTTAAAGAGTGCTGTGAAGCACCGATATCAAGGTTGTAAAGTGTGCAACTATTTAAAATATAACCGGTTATGTCCATGATATAAAACAAAATAAAACTTTTCAATAATTTGAGTTTAATTTGATATTGATTTAATTGATTTGATTGATTTGATTGATTTAATTTGTTCGATGTTATTATAGGTAATTAAGAAATACTCGTACACTTATTTGTTTAGCTTACAAGTTCTAATAGTGTTCTGTGCTCTGGCTAATACTGCACAATTAGTTCACGATCTATTTACAATGCCATAAATAATTAAAGCAAACACTTAGCCTAAACTACTTGTATCACGTGCTGAGGAGATTGAGCCAGTTAGGCCGTCTCAAGGCGCTTCTGTACATAGTTTCGCTCCTTGAGCAGCTCATCCAACTGCTGCTCCTGGTAGTAGACCACGAACTGGGTCGCTGAAACGTGCTCGAAAATGGAGCAGATACTCGGCTTGAGGTTGTAAAAGAAGAGCAGCTGTCCCCGCTGATTGAAATCACTGATCAGCGAGTCTATGACCGTGGCCGTTGTGAAATCAGCCCCGTAGACATGCGACGCATCGATGACCACCGGCAGATTTTGCCTAATGGACTGCTTGTTGACCAGATTCCTCACATAATCCACAGACGGAAAGATTAGGCATCGATCTGGGGTAATCATGG